ATTATCTACATATGTAGCCATCTTGATATGCATAATTGGCTTCATAATGCAAAAATTTTTGAAGCATTAACTTTGTAACGTAACAAATAACAAGTCTGAGATGCTCTATGATCTTATCATCACTTTTATGGAATATCGTGAAAATGGCCCCTGAATGACGAAGTTCGTTTTGGGGCGGGTCAGCGAACGTATTATGTGGAAACTTAGGACGTTACTAAACTTTGCAGAGCAGCACATTATATCAATACTTTGTAAGAAATGTACATTCTATTTTTTTTAATGGATGATAATGGAATGGTGTCCCTGCAGACGCTAAAGGTTTACGCTGGCGGGGCACCAGTGGATGATGATGAGATGACCATGACGTCAGGTAAGGTAGAAATTCTTGGTGAACTTGATGGGCTAACTGCCCATCAAGTTCACCAAGAATTTCTCACGATAGTTTCCAAGGGGAACCGCGAAGTAGTCATTAGTCGACATTCCTAAAAATCCCCTTCCCTCAACATAAATCTATTGAAATATGTTTTTCGTTCGTTCGTTTTAATACTGCACTAAGGCTTCGAGACCCATTGAATTTAGTCATCTCAAAATTCGACACAGCTGGTTACAAAGGAAACTACAATATAATTCTTGTGAAAGAGCTTTTACACTCGTACATTTAATTTTAACCTCTAAATACTGATAGTATTTAGACTTAGATTAGTAATGGTTATCAATTTCAAAAATGATAAGGTTCGACGTATTTTAATAAACAAATAATAAAAGAAGTAGTGACATATATATGTCACTAATGTTATCATAATATCATGTTATCATGTGATACCGGTGATACCACTCACCACCACTCACCTTCCTAGTCCAGAAGACTAAGATGTCATGCTTCTTGACCTGTAATTTTATTGCAACATTTTATAGTTACACTAAAAGACATATAAATAAGTACCATAGGAATATCGATTTCTACGATTTCCCAGATAGACAGAGATAGGTAATAATTTCCTGGCAGGAACGTTGTAGTCCATTCACCTCATTCTGGTTCAGCGGCTTACCCGCGAATATTAGATTGGGAACCAAGTTTATTGGCTGCTAGGGATATTAATACATAAAATTTATAGTAATTGCTGCCAGTTAATTCACTGGTAGCGAAGTAGAGAATAAGGCTGAGCTATATGTATAAATATATTTTATAGTATAGAAGGCAAAAAAGCTTGCTTAATGGTAAATACGTAATTTTTTCCGACGGCCTCGGTAGTCTAATGGTTTAGCACACCGCCTTATGGTAATGGTCGCGGGTTCAATTCGTCACACGGTACAAACATTTGTATTCATGAGTACGATTGTTTAATGGTCTGTGTGTTATTTATGTATTTTATGTATGTATTTACCTATGCATTTATATCAGTATTCAAAACAAAAGCTCTGCTAGCTTGGAGCTTGGATACCGCAGTGTGAATTGTCATAAGATATAATTGCCGTCTCCCGTGCACACCCGCAACACTAGGAGCATAGTAGGTAATATGTCTGCGTTTCAGGAAGGAATATGCTCTATTCTAAAAGGTTTCAATATTATATCGTTCGGAAATACCATAGCTGGGAGTAGATTGGATAACGTGAAAGACATCGATTCAGCCAGGTGATCTGGATGGCATTTTAAATATGTTTTCGAACTACATTATTACAATCTACATTAACATAATGCCAGTATTTTACACTACTCTTTACTTGTCTCTCACTCACTAGTTGCTGTAGCTTTATGTATGATAATTATCATTTTTATTATGTATGATAATAATATTTTTTTCGAGTTGCAGTATATACGCGATTACAACAGTTTTTTATGAATTAAGAAGCAATGTTCAAATGGCAAAAAACTAAGGAAACAGTAACGTTGTTACCATGGATAAATTAATATTTATCAATATAATGAACTTATTTTTTTTTCGTGGTGCAGTAGGTGGTTACAACACTTTTTAATAATTGGGAAGCAATGTTTAAATGGCAAAAAGCTGAGAAACAGTAATGTATAGGTACTAATGTTAACAATATAATAATGTTTTGATTGACCCTTTTGGTTGGTAATACATCCAAAAACGTCAATCGGAAAAGAGAACTTTCTCATCATTGTTTCATAATTAAATATAGAAATCACATTTTTTAAATAAGCAAAATCAGCGGTCAATCATTCGATGATTAAGTTAACCTATTTTCAAACTTTTATTTAGGTTGCCGTTTGTTTAAGCTATTTATGCTGTAAACTATGAAAACATTATTTCTGTACAACATTTTCAAATATCCCGTAACTAGGACAGTAATTTGTGTCATCTTGCAATGCAATACATAACAAAATTATAAATTCACAAAAGTGTGTCTCACAATCATATCGAAAATTTCGATATGATTCTATGATTCATATGATTATGAGACATTTCGTAGATAGGACAAAATTGTGGGTAACAGTTAGTATACCATATTCACAGTAGCCACAAATTTCCAATAGGGAAGACACTAACCAGGACCTAAATTATGGATGTACCCCCCTCACCTCCAGCCCCTGCGAGTGCATTCACCGTCGGCGGTATAGCGTGCGGCGCCGTTCCCGATAAACCATCGCCGCTACAGTAACTACACTTTACATGCATTTTAAAGATAGTGGCAGGACTAAACCAAAGGAAAACCTTATATGCAACTGTTAGTCAAAACTTCGTCTGCTATTATTATTTTATAAAATATAGTCTATTTTCATCCTTGTGATACAATGTGTAGTATATAAAATAGAAAAATTCTTTTAATTATTCTAAATAAACATATATTTTCTACTTACTCTACTGAGTAAGTAGAAAAAATATATTTATGTTAACTACTGTTAACAATGTGAAATTAAACTAATCCCTTGAATAATATGCAACAGTGTGTGAGTATGGATAGATAAATCAATCTCACATACAAAAACTACCAGAACAGATTCAAATGAAGTCTAATTCACAAATAGATCTTACCCTAAACCAAGACAAGTTACTTTTTAACTGAATTCATAATGATAGCACTGATAATGAGTGGTAAGCTAAACTAAAATTAATATGATGATATGAGGGGGAATAGTCTAGCTAGCAATGTACTGTCAAGTTGACCTCCATAAGGTTCCCCCTGGAAATTATTGTGATAAATTTATGTGTAGGTGTATATGTCCCGATGTGTTACCTGACCTGACCTCATGCTCATCCTTCACAGGTCACCATTGCATTATCATCCTTTTTTTTAATATGTATATATATGGTCACCCTATAAAAACATGACCTATCTCTACAATTGCTATTTAATAACATATCTTGTGGTAGTCACCCTCCTTTATAATTAGAATAACACATTCCACATTGCATATTGTGGTAGGTCTGAATTACATAATTTCAGGTTCAACAAAGGGAACTTTTTCAATGCAGTAATAATAGGTAGTATTTAGGACAGAATAAATATATGGTATAAACATATATGTTTACTCTATAGTGATTAGTATAAAGGCTTTTAAAAAGTAATAATATTAATACCCTACTACTATTTATATAACTTTGAGGTTTGTGTTCAGTTTATTTAATTATTAAAAAGTATCATATGCACAAATTTATGAAATGATCAGCATATTGCATCTTCATTGCAAGAAATCATAGGGATTTAAAAAAGGGTGTGAAAGTGTGTGGAAGAATTCAAAATTACATTAATGTCTTGTTACCCAACTCATTAGATATAAAATCTAATGAGTAAGTATATTCTTTTATGTACAATTACTCTATGACATATTTTTTATGTCCAGACTGGCAAACTATCTAAAGACCTCCTATTCTTGTACCTACTTAATACATTATATAATTTTATTTAATGAACTAAACCACCTTTAGTACCATACCACCTAAAGTATCTCTGCACTCGCTAAGGTTGGGTGGTAGAAAATGTGAATATTATTAAACCCAGCTATTTAATAAAAAATCAATAATGTTTGAATAAAAAATGAAGACCAACCTAATAGAAATACAAAAAGTTGTCGTATTTATTTAGTGTTAAAATATAATATAATACATGTAAAACATTACTATTAATAATAAGAAAATATTTAATTTGTTGAAAAATGAGGAAAGAGAAACAATTATTTGCCAATATGTATGTACATTTTAATACACATAAGATATTTCACTTAAATAGGCTATAATTATTAAATAAAATGTGCGACTTTAATAATTACTGTATATGTAAATAAGTGTAAACCCAGATATGCACTGAGCAGAACTGTCGGTCCATTACAAAATACTGAATTATGAACCTTCAAACACGAATTCCTCAATGAGTGTATTGAATGACAGTATATGCACATAGACAAAAATTATCACACATATATATTTATATCGCTGATATTAAATTAAAACCTATACAATAATCATAACTTCTTACGCTGAAAAATCAATAACATTGCCATAGAAAGGTAAGTTTACAAAACAATTTATTATGAAATTATCACAACACTTACCACTTTCCAAACGTATAAAGTAGATCTTACAGAGCACAAGAGTCAATTAATTGTCCAGTATTTTTTGGTTAACAATTTTTATTTATTTATCCACTGAGATTAATAACAAAGACTCACTTTTATATTTGATTTCTTTGTACAAATTTCAAATTTGATTACTGACTTTGACACCAGCTGTCATTACATTACGTTTCATTTTACGTTGCGTTTGGAGTAAAAAAGAAAACTGAAGACAACGGAACGCGACAAGTATTACGTTGTAACATAGTGGCGCCACCACGCTAAATGTTATTGTATACAATAAAATATGTAATATAAGAAAATTTAAGTATGTCGTATAGAAGAAATATATAATATAGAAAACCAGCCCAATAAAATTTGATACAAAATGGAAAGTTGAATGAATATTGCTATCTACTATAACAATATTCATCTATATATACTATAATTAAAATAAAACACTCATTTGGTAAATAAACTTTTTAAAACTTATTTTAGAATCACATAAAAATATTCTAATGCGTGAGTTCACTAGGTGACTATTGCAGTATCATTAAAGCTTTTACATGTAAAAATGCCAATAGTATTCACTTCAATGCATTCTCGTATCTGGAGGAGATGTCTTGCCAGTTGGCCACGTCGAAGATAGCTTTGACGTAGTCAGCGCGTACATTTTTGTATTGGAGGTAATAAGCATGCTCCCAAACGTCAATTCCAAACAGAGGAATCAAACCTGAAATATAATATTTAATATAATTATCACAATAAACATGTAGAGATATTACAGTGCAAAGAATGAATATAATTGACATCAACCTATCTTGATACTAATATAGTATCAATATTCATTACATTACAATAAAACTTTTTTCTTCTTTCTTTTTTGCCATGGTAGCATATTTTCCACTTATGTTAAACAGTTACCACATACAATAGACACCTGAAACACTAGGTGCCACATGCATGTTGCCGATGTCTTGGTTGCATTTATGTGGAAATTATACAATATAGGATAGTTAACTTATAGTAGATACCATGTATGTCATAGTTATTTAACAGGATAGATATTTAACAGGACATTCTGGAATAGTACTGTCATACATACATACATACCACATATTAGCTAGTATATATGTTTACCAAATGAAGTTCAACAAATTATTAGGTAAAAGTAGTTCACTACTGTTTAGTAGGTAATGTGTTATTCGCCTCATTATGCCTTTTCCTTTTAGGTTAATTAATTTTATTAGCATATAAGTGATAATGTTACTAAAGATAAAATTAACAATCACATTACTGTGTAATTATAATTATATATAAAATAATATATATAATTTTGAAATAAACCTGTTGTAGCTTGCAATGGATCCTGGTTCTGGCATGTGGCTATTTCGAGTTTCTTTGATTGCTTATTATAACCCAACCAGCCCCAGCCAGAGCCTTGCACACCCACAGATGATGTGGCCAGCTGATTCTTCAAATTCTCCAATGAACCAAAATCCCTGAAATAAGTAGTATGAAGTATTACACTCTTGCCAGGTAAAAAACTTTTAATTACTTAATTTATCTTTTACTTATAAGTATATATATATATAAAGTAAGTAAATATTTATATAAAACTAAACTGCTGTTCGTTAGTATCAAAAACAGCTTTACAAATTGTATTTTTTCATTCCTTTTTCTATAATAACAGGTTGTAGTTACTATATAATATGCATTAATTAGTATTTTTTGTGGGATTCAATATTTTGGATAAATTTTAAGATATTCTACTGCTTAAATTGATTGCGCTGACATAGGTACGTAACTTGCTAAATTATCTAAGTGTAAAAATAAACTACCAATCAATGTAAGCAAAGTAATAAAAACAAAATATGATGATATTAAATATAAGCAATAACAATAAGACAATGATTTATAAATAATTATAATGAAAGGTATCAGAAAACGAATGAGCATAACAATACCAAAAAGAATAACATTTTTATCAATCTGAAGGTCAAAGTATTAAATGTGCAATTAATATTAAGAAATAACTTGTTAGTAAAGAGGTTGGAGTATACATGATTATAGACATATTTTAGATGCAAAATTAAGAAGCAGTAATGAGCATGAAGATAATAAGAAATGGTAATAATTTTATCAATGTTAATGAACAATGTCAAGACAGACCAATCATAGCCAGTATAATAATTATGTATTAAAAGGTAACATAAAACCAGTGTGCATTATAGGAACAAATTATGTGCATTTTTAAAGAAAAGAAAGAAAGTTAGAAATAGAATGGGATTCACATAAAAATAGAATAGCACATTATTGCATGCTGTAATTTTAGATGCAGGATATAACTATATTACTTTTCAACTGCTTTGAGAAGAGCATCAGATGGTTGACCACCATTTGCTGAGAGATTCTGCCAAAAAATTGTGTGATTGATGTGCCCACCTCCATTGAATTTTAGGGCCGGCGCCAGACTGATCACTGTTTGTATATCACCTGCATAATTATATAAATACACTTTCACATAACATGAAGAAATACATTACATATAAGGTTCCTAAAGTCATTCATTCATTCATTTATTTTTTCATAATTTCAATTTACATTGTGTTGAATTTTTAAATTTAATACATAATTTACTTTTATTAACTAGTTAAATGTCCACAATGAATAATGTATAAATTAAAGGAAAATATCTATAAGTCTGTAAAGTTGGTTTAGATTTCAATCAAGTTTACAGCATCTCCATGTAATTTACTTTTGTCTTGTTGTAACTATTTTTGAGGATATTTTAATATATAATTATTATTTCCAAAACTTTTAAGTACAGTGATGAAAATATTAAGTATGTATAGGTATTATCTATAAATATATATATATATATATAAAAGTACTACCAAATACAATTGGTATGAAAAATAATTTAACCCTAACATATCACCCTAAAGATGAATTCTACATATAGGTAACTTATGTAATTTGTTACAATAGAGACATTCTCTTTAAAACAGCCATGTAGTGATAACTAAAAGGTAAATACTGTAATATACATAATACTTTATAATTGACACCTAATACTAACAATAACTAACAGTTCCATCCTCAATACTCTAAATACCAAATAAGAAAAAAGGTTACTGTTCCACTGCTCGCAGTAACTGACATGATGGCTGAGTTTGGCATGGTGTTAAGTTTAACCAAAATATTGCATGGTTAATATGGCCACCACCATTAAACTTTATGGTGTTTATTAGACCAACTAGGGTATTTGTATCTGCTGCTGTCAATGCACCAAGTAGTTGGTTTTAAAAGGTCAAAATTAACCATATAAAAATCCTATGATTTTTGTATGGTTAATTTTGACTTTTTGTACATGTTCAATCAATTATCATTTGGCACACTATATTTGCTGAAATTAAAGACTCCACAGTGTAAATACCAACACTATGCAGGTAACACTACAGTACAGCTCTTTGCACTATTCATACAAAATCCAGAATAAACTATGCATTAAACAACATACAAATAAGAATTAGTCTACCATATGGTAAACTAATACCTTCACCTATCTATTAGATAATAGATAGATGAAGCTATGGTACCTTACTGGCCAGTCTAAATTTCATCATAGTATAAAAAGAAATGTACTTTTGATTTTTAATGTAACTCAAAATAAATTATGATTTACATATTTAAATTATTTTTTCTAAACTCTTAATCTTCGTACTATATTTATCTTAAAATAAATTACAAACAGTATTAATATAGATCACACAGTAAACATAGATGACCTTGTGGCTAAGAGTGATCTTATCCAGGTAACCTTCAATTACATAATATGGAAGTAAATGAATATTCTGAATATATCATTCATGATACTTTACCCTTAGCCTGGGCTTGTGCGAGTTTCTCTTCTGCAGCATTCAAATTATTGACGTAAGTAGCATGATGTTTGCTGTGATGTAGGCTCATAATCTCACGACTGATCACCGGTTCCAGTGCATTGTACTCGTATGGCAGTTGGGGAAGGGTGTGCTTCTGTCGTGAAGCATTGACCACACGGCTGGAAAGTTACAAAACGACTTAATAAAGAAAATAACGCTATAATAAGAAAATAAAATAAAAATTAACTTTTATATAGCGCGTAGTTTTCTTAATATTTTATAACAAAAACGCTTTAATAATATGCAATATTAAATTTACATTACGGATCCAACTCCACGAGATGTGAACATTTTAACGAAAATGTGTTAAATGAAACAAATCTAACAATAAAATCAACCGGCAATAAATGTATGGAGTATGTATTGATTGAAAAATTACGCAATGGAGAACTTTGGAGAACTTTAATGCAAAAGTAAATTTGATAAATTTATAAACGTCAATTAAAACTACCACAAAATGTCAAAATAAGAAACATCAATGTCAATTATGACTTGAATGAATGTGTTGCGTTTCGTTTTTCTGTACTATTTGGAAATACATAACAAGTAGTATAGGTATCACCAATTGAGTTCATTTTTCATTATTTTTTTATCAAATCTGATAAAATAATGAAAATGAACTCAGAATTTGAAAAAATACGAAGGAACTCCTGTGGTTCTAAAAATATATGCACTGGACATCTTTTTCTAATATCATCAACAATAAGTTTAAAGTAATGCCTACTTTTTAGTATAATAACGCATAATTGACTTTTATGTTTTTAAAAACTTCAAATGTCAACGTGTGACTTATTATTGTACAGCACCACATTTATTAAGTCTGTTTTCTTCTGTGGTGTCGTACATTCATCACGTCACGTACGCATTTAATACTGTGTGCGTCGACTACGCGAGAACTTACATTAGTGTGTGTAAATTGTTACGAGACGTCTTATATGTCCGTTGTGTTCGTATGTACTCTCTTGAATTAATATTATTTTCAATATAAATTCACATATTAAATCAGTGATATTGCTCGAGATATTCAACTGTGACTTATATTAGTAATCACACAAATACTTGTTAATGAAACAATTGTATCAGCGTATTGACTCTAGTTGTTTTGATCAGTGCTATAAAAAGTGTTTGTGCATTTGTTTATTTATAGACAGTCGCAATTTGCAGTCATGTAATTATTCTGTTCCTTTGGCCGTACAATGTCTCAGAAGGATACAGCGATACATCTAGTAGCCGGCGGGTAAGTTTGCAGTGCATATCTATTTCGTTATCATTACCTTAAACTTTATCAAATAATGAATAACAGCATTGGCACATGTGGCGAGACGTTGTTTACGTTAATTCGCTGCCAGTCGGTACATTTTTTGACGCGACACTACCTACATTTCCTACTGTAGAACTATTCAGATTTATAATATTCATTTACATTCAAAGTTTTGATATTTTTATTACAATTAATAGAAGAATGACATGAATGTAAGTAGATACTGAATATTGTTAGAAATATATTAACTAGGTACTTCTTGCTCTCCACTACCAGAATAAAGTCATAGCCTAGTGTGGGGGTCATAGATAAAATGTTACATAAAGTTTTACAAAATAAAAGTTATTCTATTCTACTTCTATGTTGTGTTAAAAAGTTATTAAGTAAAAACATGATAAATGATTTCATATAACATGTTTTTAAATATGAATAGATTATTGTTGTATTGTTGATGATTTATACTGAAGTGATTATAGGTTCACAGTTATGTTTATTAATATTTATACAAACCATTTGAATACCTATATGAAAACATGATTCTAAATATACTTAATTTAAACACATATAGCTTGTTAGATATTGTTTCAAGCAACTTTTACTCAGTTTTATAAATTTGCCAACTTATTTTGTTGATAAGATTCTTATCTATTTTCATTGGAAAATTATAAAATTTAGAAGTTATTATTATATTAAATATATACTTAAATTATAAATTAGTTTAAGTATATATTTTTTAAATAAATGTTACAAGGTTTTTTTAATGGATGGTAATGGTATGATGCACTCTGTTGTGCTGATGCTATATGGACACCAGTGCAGGATGACAAAATGAGAGTGAACGTAAACCAATTCACTCTTCAATGTGAATTTACCACAAATTAATAACAAAAAAGGAAAGAGACCATGTGGATGAGATGGACCTGACTATCAATGTAGCATATCAATAGCAAAAATACTACTAGTTCTAATTACTCACAATCCCTACTTACTTTACTTTTAACATGTTAGATCACCAATTTTAATCCTTTATCCTGATGCCACATGTTTTTTTTCTCCTATAACCTATAGGAGAAAAAAAACAATGAATGTGATAATGTAGTCCTAAGAAAATATGGATTTCCTTAGGACTATATTGGCTATGGGGCCAGTAGTGACAGGGTAGTAATGTTGATGAATAATCTTCATGCCTATAAATATCACAGAATTTAAACAAAAAATATTTAATCTGTATAAATATTTTTAAAACAGCCATGTATGAGTCATATGTCTGTATCAAAAATATTTACATACTCTTTCTGTTTATCACTCAAGTTATATATTATGTATAGGGTTGCAGGGACAGCTGGAGCTGTTGTGACATGTCCATTGGAAGTTGTGAAGACTAGGCTACAGTCCTCGAAGGGTGTAGGAGTGCCACCATCACAACCTCCACCCTCTGACAGTGCTGCACATACTAGGAAAATCTGTTCAAAGATACCAAAACACCAGGTAATGCAATTGTATTATATTGTTGCTTTAGCTACGTAAATTTATAGATTTTTAAAGTGTGATTAAATCATAACAAATACTGTTCTCCTGGCAGTATAGTGAAGTTGGGTGTTCTTACCCGAAATTCAAAATGTCACTGCCCTAGTCATGAGGTTGCTATGTCAGTTTACAAAGACACTGGCAGCATGTAAATAAATATTGGCTATACAAATATCTACTACATAAGAGATTATTAATTGCAATCTCTTCATCCAAACTATTTTATGGAAGTGATGATTCATTGTTAGTATATACACAAACATTATATTGTTTTTAATAACACTGGAAAATATTGTCAAAAACATGCATAATATGATAGAACCAAAAATGTTGGATATCTATAAATAGTAGATATTATCACAATGCAAATACCCCCAATAATTTTGATAAGACTCTTTTTATCTTTTTGAGGGGTAAAGATTCTACTTTATAAATAAGTAGCTATAGTATTTTGTATAAGGCATATAATTATGATACTGTAGGTATAATCATGATAAAATTGAAATGCGCCATTTGATTGATTACATTTTCTAACCCATTCTGATAACACTATCGTTTATTAGGATACACAATATTTTAACATCGACTAGACACTCCCCTTATCTCCGCAGGTTAATTGTATCCTGATTGCTATTTTATGACTCTATTTTTATACTTAGAGCTTGCGTAAATAAGCAACCAATCTTGGAATGCAATATTCTTTTTGTATATTTTTAAAATTTTAAATAACATAACATTTCAATAGGTGTACATTTTTAGACGTTAGACCTTTTCCAAATTTCTAAATCTTTCTTATATTTTCATATAAATTAGGATACTTGCATCATTTTACAAACTTTTAGCATAAACTGAATAAAAATGTACTTTCAACGTAAATGTTTGAAGTAGATTTTCTAAAAAAGGTACTTGTGATATGTTACTCTATAGCTATTTATACGAGTACAAGGGGGCTTGTGAAATTCACCATGATGGAACGATGATATGGACGCCGCGTGTTTGCAAAAACTAATCAAATGCCGTGCTATATTATGTGGAAACTTAGACAGCTGACTGATACGCACTATTTGTAGATTGATAACTGTAGCGTTATGTACACATTATATTTTCTGAATAACATTAGTGTTCGATCAAAGATCATTTTTTGGCCGTTTCCAAAGTAGATTTGGTACAACAGATTACAAATGTCGGAAAATTGCTATTTTTTTACATTTCAAACAGATTTTGAAGAAATTTGTGTATTACTCATGTAGTTTAAAGCTATATACCTACTAGTTTTGTCCTAATTAAAATCGTATATTCTATTCGCAAAATCTTAAATTATGTTGTAATCATGTCGTAACATTCGACAAAAGTAATCCCCTTAGAGACCTATACCGCGTTTAAAGCGACATACCTACTTCACGCAAACCCATGTGCTGTATTATATATTACCATACACTTCCTGTGACATGTTTCACAATATATACAAAACTTACGTAAGCTCTCAAAATGTATAAAAAAAATTGTAAAAGCTTTAGATATTAAAAATTAAATATCTTAGAAAGTTTCAAACATTTAAATCGTTAATATAATTTTTGTTACGATATATTTGTATTAGAGTACATATGTCGGGGTAGTGACCTGAGGTTCGTAGTGTTCTATAAATCTGTTAGATGATGATCTAGTTTAACCTATATACCTACTAGCCATTATTCAGTATACACGATGAGTTGTAATAAGTTTACGAAGTCAATATCCTATGATACAGTTCATGAAATTCGCTTTGTGATGAATTTTTAAGCCTTTCACGTAGATAACTATGTGATCGCATATTCTACCATTTGATGATTCAGCGTTTTCTTAAATAATGTTGTTAATTTTTGACAATACTCATACTGTACGTATTGAATTTTACTACCTATCTTCACGTTAAACTCCCTTATGGGATAGGCTACAATGAGGTGTCCGAATCACAAAAGTTTATATGCCTTTATTTCATGCATTTCTTACTAAATGTTTATATTTCCGTATATATTTCCATTATAATATAAAACTGTTTGTTTTATATTATAATGGAACTTTTTGTACATCCAAATGATATTATTTTTGCCGCTCGGCGCCTTTTATCAGTCAACACAAACGCCAGATTATGTTAGAAGAACGTGGAAACTCTAAAAATAAAAGTTGTAAACAATTTTTTCCTTATTTATATCCTATTTTTAACGGAGTTGTTGAGCTAGTGACCTGCAATTGGCTTGCGTTCAAATGAATATTAGTACCCATTCTTCGTTGCCTAGGAATCCCGTAATCTTAAGTCACTGTGAAATCGATAAGCAACCCGTAAACAGTATTGATTATTATAAAAATAGCAAGAAGTACGCATTTTAAACAAAACGCCTATGTCTCTTTTACATAGTAGGTACTAAAAAGTTATCGTATTCTAATTAAAAAAATACAGTGTTATTTCGTAAAACGTAAACAAGATAATACGCAAAACAATTATAGCAATTTCATCTTTGTAATTTGTATTTATAACTAGACTAGACTATCGTGTGTGATACAATTAGCTTCATTAAAGCCCGATATTTCAATCTTCAGATGTAATTGTACTAATTAAAACCTGAGTTATAAATAGAATACTTGGGTCTATGTGGCGCCATATACGAACTAATCCAGCTATATAACGTAACAAGATACCATAGTTTCTATCAATTATACTAGTAAGTTGGTAAACTGTAGGATGACTTGAATGTATTTTTAATTTAGTATGGTTATACAAGTCGACTATAAGGGAAAAGTAAAAAATAGGCTGTATCAGTGTAGTGTCAATTTCATTCCAGCATGTAGTTGCAGCATGTAGCAACTGTCTATTGACGCCCATGTGGCTAAGTCCACTAACTTCCACATCCACTTCAGCCATATCTGTTAAACTTTAATGTAATGTAATAATGTTAACATAACTTAGACATCAGAATAACACATAGACAATAACTATAAAACATATTATGTAAATTAGAATATATTTAGCAAAATCGCAGTTTTCGTCTGTATGATTCTGCGATTCGTTTTATAAACCTTTGTAATCTTAATCCGGTGTTGCCATATTTTTTAAATGTCTTCTGTAAAGTATACATGATCTCCGTGTACTGTATGTATATCCGTGCGATTCGAGGTGGATCCGCTCTACATATTTCTAAACTTTATCGATTTTCATAAACTAATTTCAACTCGATACAAAAACAACTCGGAACAAACTAGATATGTGAATTAGTCGGGCGAGTGTTTGAATAATGGAAACTGTAAATATTGTGCTACCGAGACGGATATAAGTAGATATTTGCTGTTTGCTTCACATGTACATGTACCTACATGTTAGTGTATAATAAATAAGTATACTAGTGTTGAAACGGATTGGTTTCAATTTCAAACTGGTTAAAGTGTTGTTTTGAAAAATAAACAGCGAATGAGAAGTGCAAGTGTTATCATTATGACTAAAATATCTTAAAATCAATCTACAAGGTTTGATTAATATTTATGTTGATAAAATCAACAGTGCTGTATAGTGTGATTTTTTTATATTATTAGGAATGTCTGTCTGACGATCAAACTGATGGATACAGGCGAGTAAATTGCCATAATGAAATTTATTAAAAACAAACCTATTACTCGTATGAACGTGAACGTGAACATAACACTTGTATGTTACGTAGACCCGTAATATACAAGTGTTATGTTCATATTATATATTTATTACTAAAATTTGTTATACATCTTAGACTACTAAGATTATAAATATAGAGTATTATTAAATACATAATCTCATTGATACATGTGTGTGATAGTTGATCTAACTATAATTATCAGATTACATCTGGTCCATGACTTAATTTCTATTTAAGTATAAGAATTCTGTATACGTAAATACATTTCATAGGTATTTAAGCCTTCATGATCTCGACATGAACATTGCTCTCAAATTTATTGACACAAATACATATTATTGTTTTTATAAAGTAATTAAACTTTTTGCGCTCGAACAGTATTTGATTCTTTAATTGCAGGGGCCGGTATCAAACTAACATGAAACTATAAAAATATGCAAGTATTTAGGTTCTATCAGTCTAAGAAAGTCTTTATAATAATAGTAAGTTGGTATTTGCGATATTATATTGGTCATAGAGACATCCTTTTACAGTTCAAGGTAGTACATCAGAACAAAGTTACAATACAAGGTCATTACAAATTAAGACAGATGCGCAATGGCAGGTTGAAATTCCTATCCATCTGCAGTGCTCAGTACAACTGTAGGCATGTCAGAAACAATGAATTACATTGTAGAGTCATTGATTTATAATAAAACCCTACAGGCTACGAAATTAGAATTAACTTTAGGTATTATTATTTTTATGACATTGAAAGTTATTATCTGATGCTCTATATTCTTAACATTATACAATAAGTCGAGTATTTTTAAGTAAATAATAATAAATATAAATAAAAAGTAAAGTGTGCACGCTGTTGAGCATACAGTAAGCGAAAATCTCCAGATAGAATTGCAATTGATGTAGGTACTAATCATGTCATCCAAATTGAGTAAATCGGCGGCTTTACGGTATTAGACTCTTTGCCTTTCCTATAAGGATAAATAAAACAATGTAGTAAATCGAATACAGTCAATTTTTAGATTATTTTCACTTAAAATGTTAAGAGTATGCAGTTTAAAGTGATGTAATAAGCTTTATTTACCACATACAGATATATATAGAACACATCTAAGAACAATATAGTCCTGAGGATATCGTAACTTGCAACTTGTCAGGTGTTGCTAAACAGAATATATGCACTTGGTTAATTCTTGACAATAAACACTAAATACACACATTATATTGTCACAACAACATAATGATGGACAGTGTATGTTAAACTAGTACTTACTAACTACAATGGCGCAATTCAATTCTAATTGAAGGTAATTTCGCGATAAGACGTTTCATTCATACGTATTACCGTAGAAACAGCAATTTTTATCTGTAGCATTACCAGTTATATAATATTCTGTAATTTAAGTACTAAATACAAAAATAGACTTTGTATATCATAGTTTACTTTCTTCAGTGTTTTTGTGAGATAAATGCCTAAAAATAGAGTTAAATTGTTAATAAGACTCTTATACATCTAGATGTTATTTTTATGTATATATTTATAGGTACGTCTCAGTGAAATCATACTGTTTATAAAGTCTATTACTTTTATTAGATTGTGGGGCTTCGCTAATTTGCTATCATTTAGTACGGATGAGTAGGCACCTACACAGACAAAATAATGTAATTCTGTAGTGCCTTCTCCTAAATCTATCTCTAAAAGTAACTTTTATAATTTGGTATTTTAGCGCAAATATAATGTCCAGAACATTATATTTATCTAAATATGAGGTATTTCTCAGATGTAACTAGCACTGAAACACTCTTTGAAATAATGTTTCCTTTTAATTATTATGCAATAAACTTTTTAATAAATTTAGGTTCGCGTCAATGTACTTACTTAAGTATATAATTTAATAATAAGAGCATGTTACAAAAATACTAAAAGTATGGTATGTACATCTTTAAAGCGCTACATTTCGCTTTATTTGAAGGGATGCTGTATTTTAATATTGTCAAATTAACCGTTTAGTCAACTGCCTTATTAAGGAAACTTTTAGAGTGTATCTTTAAATTTATCAGTTCCATAATGTTGTTCAAAATAATTGCTAAAGTGATGGATCTATACGGGTAATTTTGACACGATAACAGCCTAGCAACAGTTGACCGATGTAACAGATTGCTAAGCTGGTCCATATAAATATTAGTATGACGAAATCTGTAATTGTTATGTAGAAAATTGTTTTGTCAGTGAAATTACACGGTACGGCAGTATGATGACATCTTGGTCATCGAATGGCAACACACGAGTGTTACCACGGGCTTTGCATGGCGCATTAGATGGCCTGTCAGCTTGTTTCGTAAAGAAGTAATTGGCCGTGTAAACGATCCTTAATATTGGCCATATAATGCAGGAGGCCAAATGGGGCTACAGACGCACAATGGGTGCAATGTTCGCGTACAGCAAGCAAGCAGATCGTATGCTGATGTCGTACAATTGTCAGGTACAGCAGTACACGAGAGCTAGCCACGCCAGGACCACGAGAGGGATGAGTCTGATTCAGTGCATAAGGTCAGTAAACTACACTTAATTTAATTTTAAAGTAGAGTACTACAAAATTGAAGTCAAATGAAGTTAAGATAAAAAAGATCACGAGTGACCTAGTTCAATGGAACTGTTTTATTTCAATTTCTCTCAAAATCCGATTACATAGCGTGTTGTATAGACGTCTGCTTTATGTCGAATTGGAGAGACTGTAGAAAAGCCCCATCTCTGTCGTTCAGTGATGATGACTATGTTTGGTATCTAGGTATAAAATATGCCTAGACACTAAATATAATCAATCATATTATGCCGTAATGTAAAATAATAAAAATACAATATCGTATATCGAATATTCCCTGATTTTGTATTATGTAAAGTTTATATGTATTATGTTATTTACCGATATCTTCGCCAATTTTGTATCTCTTTTGCAACCTGTTTTATTTATTTTTATAATTTTTGACAGGTACAAAATCTTAATGCAAAACCGGTCACCTGTTATTTCAAGTACTACAAGTACTCGTACCTATTTTTGTCATTCGATTCTCTGTGACGCTTATTTGGGTCAAGGTTTAAACAGTTATACATATAGATCATTTTTAAAACATTAACGACACGGAACTGTCATTCAATAATCATAACTTCTATACTTTTGCATGCTGCATGCTACCAGATTTTTATAAAGATTTTACGTTTTGGGTCCACGGACAATAATTTTGATGAGGCGGTATTCATTTTAATCGTGAAATTTATTTTTTAAAATTATAATAATTATATATGTAATCATTATAAATATATGCATACTTATACTTGAGTATATCTATACATTTATAATTTAATAAAAACGTTTTTTGAATTTGCTATATTTCGGTTGAATACAACGTAGGGCATCAAACTTTGTCTTTGTCGATTTAAAATTTAAATAGGCACAATTTTTTTTTATAACGGCCAGATTGAACTCGCGGCCTTCGAAGTATTATGAGTCGGACAGTAAACAACTAGCCATGACGCTCTCTTCTGTTTCATATCGTAACATAACAACATTAGTGTTATAAAGTGATGTTCACACAGCCCTGGTTTTTTTATTGGACGGTGATGGCATGGCGCTGGTTGCGTTCAGGATATAACTTAGCGGGGCACCAGTGGAGGATTATGGGATGAGGATGCAGTCAGGTCAGTTAACCCATCGTGGCGCACTCACCAGTATCCACATTCAGAAGTATCCACGACGGTTTCCAGGGAGAACCGCGTGGAGGTTACCTGATGATTAGGTAAAAAATCCTTCCTCCCTTATCTCCAAGTTCCGAGAGGGACTTACAAACTACGGAGTGTTCGGTGTTAGGCCATGATAGAGTCATACATTACGGCTACTGATCTAAAAAAAATCCAATATGCATATGTATATACATGGCAGTACTTTTGTTGATTCTAAAAAATATACTATTGCGGGTCACTATGTCCTCTTATTAACAATCGCATAGACTCTAGTGCCTCCATTCCTACCAATGTCATCCGATCTTCACGTAGTTCTCACTAGAAAACATAAAAAAATATCTCTATTGCGTACAGATAACAAATAAAGATCAAAAACAGTATCTTAAAAAAGTGAATTACAAAAGGCGGTCTTATCGTTGTAAACAATCGCTTGCAGACAACCTGGATACCACATCTATCAACCAGACAGATAAGCGTAGAGATGCAAAAGGTGGTGATGCACAAGATGGTGAATTCATCACGACTGAAAGAGCTGACTTCATCTTAATCCTATCTTCCTGTACTGGTCAGCGCAAAACCACAAGCGGGTGCAATTTTTCGTACTGAGTCTAAAAAATTAGGGGTTCTAATCTATGAGCCTAAAAAAATAGGGATTCTAATCTATGAGCCTAAAAAATTAGGGGCTCTAATCTAATAGTATGTGCATGGCGCTAAATAGTTTGTTACTAATTTATTAGAGATTCAAATGCAGTGTGCGTGTTTACAAGTATAGTAGTTGGTGTATTGACATTTTGGCTTTCAGCCATCGCGTGCATGTAATCATTACTAACGTACATATAGCTCGATACGCTCGTACACTATCTAGTTTTAATAAACTGATGCGAGGATGGAATTATCAGGAATGGGTACGTACGTCACACATTAAGGGGAGTCGAAAAGTGTGATATAAAATGGAGGAGGCTTGGAGGTCACAAAGTTCGCGTAAAGAAATCATGAAATGTAAGACCCCTCCTAGTCTACGAAGATGGGGGGCTTCTACTCCTCCTAAGTTTGTCTATGCTATAGCTATGAAAATGTGATCAGCGGTGACATGCGGATACCGAAATTGGTGTAACGTAATTAATGTATGGCCGTATGGCCCCTAACTAGCAAAGCAAAATGTCTTGCAGTGTTAGTAATCGTATAGTTAACTGGGCTTACCATCGTCTGCTTTTTTTTTTTGAGATAAAAGATCTACAATTTGTCTTAATGTTTTATTCTTTATTTTACACACATTTTATTACGATTCGATCGGTTGTTTCGTCGTAAAAAAAGTAATAAACAAGCAGACAGGCACACTTCTGATGTTATAGTATTAGGTTATCTTTCCTTATCGTTAATATCTCCTTACGAAGTTTGTCAGTGATTTTCGATTAGATCTTGTTTTTTTTCTTGTGATGAAATTAGAATGTCGGTCTCGTCTCGGGTAATCGTATACGCTGTAAGGATGCCAGTGATGATTGAGGTGAAAAGGATGAAAGCAGCTTTAGCCAATCATGACAATTAACCCTCATTTACCATGAGTAGAGACACTCCGTAGATGACAAAATAAATAGTAGTAGTAGACAAAACAAAACCTGGACTATAACAAATAGTGAACTTTGAAAATAGTGTTAAAATAAAATTTCATATAATTGTATAAGCAATGTAAGAATTCATAATGTAACAATACTACACAATGTAATGTAAACTAAACTGTGCAATTAGTAGTAATATAAGATTTATATAATTGTATATGCATATTGGTAAATGTAACTGGCTCCTAGGAAAAGAAAAAAAAAAGACAACAATAATATAATACTATAAACACACAAAAAAAAAAAATTAATAAATATAGGTGAGACTGCATGTTGTCAACTCACCCGGCTGGCCGACGGATAAGGTCTGGTATTAAAAAACCAAACAAAAATTAAATTAACGAGGACTCCTATATATTATCAATATTTGGCGAAGACTTCGTGTAACAATCTTTTTTAAGTCATAGCGTAAAATTGAATTCTAATAACGACACTCGTCCTTTTTAAAGTCGGTTGAAAATTCTCCATCGACAAATAGAAGTAGTAAAAACCGCTTTAAACTAATTTATTTATCACAAGTATACGCTAATAGATAAGAAATATAATGCGCTCAGTGGTGGGCATGAGAGTTATGCGTGTACCCGATTTCCAGTTGGACCTGGCGTCTGTATAATTATTTTTAGATTCGCAGTTCTCACCAATATTGGCTAAATCGATTGCATATCAGAGTATGCGCACAATAACCAAAATGTACCAACACTGGTATATTTTAAGAAAAATACACTTTAAAACTCCCCCACACCCCAAAGGTCACTATTTCTCAAAGATATCATTAAATGAAATCCAATGTTATCATGTATATTTAGTTCCATGTTGATATTCAATAAGCATTCATTGTTTAACTGATACTATTTACGTCATAAATGTTCGAGGTTAACTCCAAAATGTAAATACGATTAAAACTAACCTTGCTCTTAACTTTTCAGACATATTGTCCAAACCGAGGGAACTAAGGCCTTATTCAAAGGTTTAGGGCCGAATATAGTGGGAGTTGCTCCTTCGAGGGCTATTTATTTCTGCACATATTCACAAGCTAAGGCCATTTTAAATCAGAATATACCGCCTGATACACCTGTGGTGCATCTATCCGCGGCCAGTGCTGCAGGTAATTTATTTTTTTAAATTAATATTATAAAAAGGTATTAAAGGTATTAAATAAAAGGTCACCATTGATAAACCATCGCAAACCATGACTACACCATAAACACCAACTCTGGATTATCCAGCAAATAACGCGACATTAATGCTATATTTATTAAATATATATGTATATCTTCATTCATGTGGGGGGCCTACTGATAAGCCAAATTTACCGTCAGTTCGGAGTGTACTTTGAACCGTTAACTAACAAGAAATTCGGCTATAACTCTCTATGAATAACATCAGTCACTCATAAAAGTAATTTTTTATAACTATCTCTCCATCACTGTCCATAGTAGAAATAGTACAGAGTACTGCTCTACTTTACTGACTCACCAGACAAATTACTTACTATTATATTTTGTTTTATGTTATCGTAACCTCAGTTTGCATCAAAGACACGTGTTTGCGATATGCATTTAAATGCAACATTTGCATGGCATCTGCTCAATAATAATGTGACTTAGCAACATTAGTACTTTTTTATTTTATTAAGACGTTTAGGCTATTGCAAAGTGTTTTAGATCTGTACCACTGCGAGCTGCGGAGATCTATTGCGCTAGCCCATTAGTAGTTTACAAAAAATATTATTGTCAATGATTATACAAGTATGGTAATAACAAGTAATTGAATTGTCAGTATTAATATTTGGTACACACGCACATTACATACAATAAAAAACATATTGATTGCTGTTGAACATGGCATATATATGACAAAACTATTATTGGAGGACCTTATGAACGTAACAGAACCTAAGGCAATAGCTATTGGATTTTTTTTTTTCTAAAAAAAAATATTTATAAAATCGTACCCAGTCAATGTTTATGATTTTAATAATTGACGGCTTAACCGATTTAGTGTTTATGTGTAGTAGAAACGCAGCATGCTTTGACTCAGTACTTGACTAGTAATTTCACTGCCATATTCCACTTTCAAAGCACATGTAACCAATCTGCTTTGTGGTAGACATGATTTAGACAACTTCGTACAAAGTCCCTCTGATAAGGATATTTGTCACTTTCACCTACTTTAAAAAGTAAACAATAACAATTTTGTATTGTTCATAAATTACGATAACAAAATTATATCACCTAAATCTATCTATATATCACTTATATAGTCGTGTATTTTATACAAAAAACAAACAAACAACTTCACGTCCAAACGTAAGTGGCAACTATCGGCTATATTACTATATACACAAGCAGCATCACGGTTTTCGCGCCATCAGGAGGCACCGTTTTACTCATGCATTGCCATTACGATGAACGAAGGTGTGATTTCACTGCCGTATACCCCATCAGTTGAAACAGATTACTACTTGCGAGCAGAACAGCAAGCTACTTGGCGACTTAAATATGTGATATAGAGTTAGAACATATGTAAACGATTTGATACAAAGTCAAAATATATAGGTAAAAGTGAAGAAAGAATGGTTTTACTTTGTACGAGAGTACGACTATAGCATATTATACTATTTATATTATATATATAGTAATGTAAAAATTATTTATTCCAGGGTTTGTATCCTGTACTATGACTAATCCTATATGGTTTGTCAAGACTCGGCTGCAGTTGGATGGGCAAAACATGACGGCTTTGCAATGTATCAAAAAAATATACTCCAAAACGGTATGATATTTAGTATAACATATAGTACACGTCGACATTATAAAATAAATATTACATTACCTGATTTTTATCAAATCCATATTATATACATACCTAAGATTCGACACAAGCAGTACAAAATATTCAAGTAAAAGTTAGTCAACCTTCTTCAAGATTTAAGTAGACGCGACAGCAGTAATTATTCAAGAGCTTAAAGACAATAAATAATATTTGTTTCTATGGAAATGCAAACACGTTGATTCGGTTCGACAATTTCCACTGTTAATAATTTCCATTAGATATGGCCTTAGCGGAAATTACTCCGGAGAATAAAAAATAGTCGCCTAAATGCATGAGAGAAAAATACAGCACCAGACAAAAAATACAATGTAACATGTATGCCATTCGTGCTTTGTGATTTCTAAAATAAATAACTGTTATAGTCTGTAATTTCACTGCTACACACTTTAAAGCAAAATTGGTTGAATAGGCAAGACATTATGATACACACAAATTATAATTTAGTATGGACTAATAACAGCTAGTGATCCAAGGTTCAATTAGTTCTTCAAAACGCAACTCGCTTCAATGTGTTTTTATTTTCTTTTCCAGGGTATAAAAGGCTTCTACAAAGGTATCACAGCTTCATATATGGGAATTAGTGAGACTGTAGTACACTTCGTGCTATACGAGGGTGTTAAGGCGAGACTGATGGCAGCGAGGAGTGTAGACGGCGTCCCAAGCGACCAGCGCTCCCCAAGAGACTTTCTTGAGTTCATGGGAGCTGGTGCCTTCTCAAAGACAGTGGCGTCATGTATTGCATATCCACATGGTAAGAACTATGATTGTATGATTGTGAATTTTCTGATCTTATATATTTCAGAAGAGATGAATACAAATGTTTGTACCTTGCGAGGATGAAACCTGCGACTATCGGAAGTAAGCTGTGTACTAAATCGCTAGACCACCAAGGCCTTGTAATATAAATATAATATTTCGTGATTAATAGGAAAAGCTAACGCTGACATTGTTATTAATTATATATAATCTTGATTATATTTTAGAAGGACAGTACAAATATGTATTGGTCCGAAATAAATATTGAACATAGACTCCAGAGTAAATCTGCAGGCTGACTGTTATTATTACTTTAAACCATAACAATCATTTTGATTGCCTGTATGGAAGCTAGAGTCCTAAATAAATAATTGCCTTAGATTTTTTATATGGCGATATATATTTGTCTAGTCTAATTAGTTTTAGTACTATACACAGTGCGAATAGGATTGTTAGTAACAGAGACTAGTGGCCTATTGCTAGGAATAAACTGTATTTTTGTACTATTTTATCCTTATCTTTGTTTATTATAAATTATAAATACAGCAAAAAAAGTGGGTTATAAAACCACTTCGTTTTTCTGTTTGTGATATTTTTTTTCTAGTCCCAGAAATTAGAATCATGTCTGTCTGTCATCAACGAATCTTTGATTTGGCTCAAGTAATATTGACGACTGAAATTCTTTCGGTCTGCCAATCGTGAAGGACGCTTTGTAATTTCAGAACAATATCATGTTGCTTTCTTGGATTGCTATGTAAACTTTGAATGATAGTGATATCTTCTTTCTCACTTTCTTACGAATTGATATTCCTTGACTTACGTTAATACCCCAATATGGATATTATTTACTGTAGGTAACATAACATCATTCAATTGTTATGTATTCTCAAATATGTACGGCCTCGGTGCTTCGGTAGTCTAGCAGTTCAGCACACCACCTTCTCACGTATTCCTTTCCAGAACTATACAAACATTTTTGTTCATAAATATGATTGTTTGTTGTTATTTACAAAAAAATATTTAAATATTTTTATCAAATAGTTAGTACCCACAGTACACTAGTTTGAAACTATCGGGCAATGTGTAAATTGTCATGAGTTATAATTATTAAGTAATCAAAATATTTATGTTAAGCATATTGTTGTAGAAGTAGCAAGAACACGACTGAGGGAAGAAGGTGATAAGTATCGAAAATTCTGGGAGACATTACACACAGTTTGGAAGGAAGAAGGATACAGGGGTGTATATAGGTAACTTATATAATATATAGAATCTTCACTCATTTCGCTTAGGCATGTATTAATATTTTAGTTAGTACACTATGGATGTTATTGCATGGTTGCTTTATTGTTCATTTTCAGATAAAATATAGCTGTGCCTGGCCTTGTGATACATTTTAATGTTAAATTTTATTACAATCCGTTCAGTTGCTTAGTCGTGAAAAAATAACGGACAGGCACACTTTCCAATTTATATTAGTATATATGGATAAATATATGATTCAGTAAAAAATATGTTTTAATTATATATGTAACTCATTGGCACTATGTTTAATTTAATAAAGTTCAATGTCTCCTTGATGCATTTAATTATGACAATTGATAGAAATATAGGACTATGTGGGCTTAAATTTAGGTAGTTCAGTATTTCAATCTTTATCTGATATTAACTCAAATAGGACCTCATGTGGTTTTTAAATTTTTATTTTATTACAGGGGCTTAGGCACTCAACTGGTTCGCCAAATACCAAATACAGCGATCATGATGTCGACATATGAAGCTGTTGTGTATCTCCTAACGACACATTTCAATAGTTCCTTCTATGAGAACACCTAGCAATCGACTGCAGCCGCGTAGGTCCCGGAGCGACATAATGCCTGAACCCAGAATCGTAGTCTAGAGGTTTGCAATCGACGAGATTCGAGAGCCGATTTTGTATGAGTACGGTAACAGTGACGTCTCAATTAATTATTATATCGTTGTTTATTTAGATGATGCCAGTTTTGGAGCCAAAATCTTGACGCCAGTGTACGTAGGCACATAACAAAAGTTCTAAGCGCATTCTATGTCACTTTATGCAAGGAATTTTAAGTCTATATTTAAGCGTAAGTGGTATCCGCTTACGTCTTGCGATCCTCCGTACCACGAAAACGAAATATGACGTTAAAAACCAAGCCTTCCTATCAGAGATGTGATGGTGACGTGATTTTTGGCCTTCCAATATTGTCACTGTTTAAATTGAACATAGCGTCGATTTTTTCGCTTGATTAGAAAACGTTGTGCCACATTATGTGACTGATTTTATATTAAAATATGTTTGTTATAGTTTTATGGTCTTCAGGTAATGTAGACATCTCGAAATATTTACAGTGGTTAACAGAATTTAGATGCACGTTATGGTATGTTAGGCTGAAAACAGTACTTAATAATTATACATACAATAGAAACAGCAAAATACACATTTTTACGAAACTATATTGACGTGGATAGTGTACTTAGGTTAACATTTTTAATTACATATGTACATTGGATTGCTTTTGTTATTGTCATTGGTATGGCTTTAATTTTTTTAATATCAATGTGTTGCATAAATAAATATAGACTTGTTGGCGAGGTGACATAATTATGGCATGACTGTATCTATTACTTTCATTGTATGAGTTCATCAAAGTGGCCTACAGTACACAAATTCTTAATAGCATTGATATCACGAATATTAACTACAAAAAGCTGTAAAAATAGTATAATAAAAACAGTTTGTTTTTAGCGCACAGTTGAGAATTTAGAAATAGGCATATAGGAATATAAAATTTATATTGTTAAACTTGCAATTGAAATACCAAATTGAAACTTGAGACAAATGCCTTCATTTTAATTACACAAAATATAATACATGGTTATTTGGACTATTTTTTCCTAATAATCCGCCTAATAGCCACATCTAGTAGTCATTTGTAGTCATAGTTCTAGTCTCATTTGAATATATTATAAATATTAGGAGTCGTTATTGTATTTGCATCTCTATCAAGTGGCATTATATTACTACATGTTTACAAGATTATATTACCAAAAAAATTGTAACTAAACGAAAATTGTGTTTTTGTTAAAATGGTTGGAAGAATTAGAATGAACTTTCACATTCACAGGTTATATATTCTTATAAAAATGTCGCAATTTCCAAAGGGGTAATTTAAATACACCGTCTACAACTGTTAATTTGTTTATTAATATAATATTAGATGGTGTCTACAAATGTACATGTGGATGAAATTGCAGATACTGCTAGTATTAGAATAAAGTAATGTCACTCCTAACAAAACATTGACAAGCAAAAATCGATTTACTGAACTACTCCTACACGGTTTAAGTTACATTATTTTAATTGTTTAAAATCTTTTGTCTATTCATATTGAAACTATGTTGTTACATGGAATTCATTTTATTCCTATATTTGTGTGAGTACTTTGTGGCCATAATTATATTAATTGTTTAATGTGCACACAATGTGAAGTGTTGCTCAGTTGCTATTCTTTAATCATGTTTATAATTCCAGTCCTTTAGCACATGTAGAAAGTTGGAAGCTGTGATATAGTACTTGTAAATATTAGTGTGATGATGATAATGTTAAAACACATAAACACATTTATATAACTCTTTAATGTCGTTACACACAATTTAGTTAAAGTATTATTTTTCTTGCTTTTTATATTCAGTCGATGATTTTATAATTATTAATGTTGTTCAATAGAAAATGCAACAAATTGCCATTGGAATTGTTACTGTTGTTGTATGAAGACAAAAATTGATTATTACAAATTATGGATAACAAAATATAGCTCTACAGATATATAAATTGTTAAAATATTTTTAAGGTCAGATGTAGACTGAGTATAAAATACTATCAATTTTGTTTATCAATAAATGGTCAAAATGAGTCAATTGTTTACTTTCTTCTCCTATTAGTTAATAGAATTAAAATAAATTAAGAAAGTACAGGTTTCAACAAGGTCCTTATAGAAAAGTTTGATATTATTACCCACATATGTGTGGAAATAGCATTGGGCATGCTACTCGGATATCTAAGAAAAGTGGTCAATGGGAACAAGTCACCTTTTAAGGCTACAATGGGCTCTTGTCGGAACCAAATAACTGATACAATCATGAGTAGTGCAACAACAACTTGAAAAACAATCTGTACAGAACTTTTAATAGCAAAACTTTTGCTCATTCGTGATTGTGAATCATCTTTCAGTTGTGTTTCCAATTTGTTTATTCTACGTTGAATTTTGGAATATGCTGCAAACTCTTCTTTCATTGATATAGTTTTCTGCATTGATTTAAGCTTCTGTATTTCAGTCCATGCTGTGCGTTCTTCATTTGATGGTCTGATGAAGCAAACTATAATCTGAAATAAAAGAAGTTATATAGAATATTACTAAATAATTTATCTGGGAGCATTTTTTAGATGTTGATAATGGAAAGGTGTACCGCCTGCACTAACGGAACTGAATATTTAATGCTGGCATACTATCTTTCTCTTCCATTGATCACTGTCAGCCGTTGCACATACAGGGTTAAGCCTGATATACAATGATAAATGTTTCTGGATCGTTGTCTCCAGCTATCGAAACTATAGATCTTTAATATTACGTTCTTATTACTGTGAGAGACCAATGAAACTAGACCGGCCATATAAAATTAATAGCATTAAAATTCGTATAAAGTTGCATATTAACCTCCCTTGGTCGACTGTTTTTATGTACTTCTTTCATGAAGAAATAATTACTGATTATTATAATATTATACACTTACTTATTAATAATATGACACTTACTGGTTTTACTAGATGGGGTACCAGAGCACTTATAGAGCAAAGAATAATGAAGTAAATCATTAGGAATCCATTTATAACTTCCAACATGATTAGATATCAGTTTTTCTCCTTCAAAAACAAAATTATACCTAATTGAAAAATACTAAAGCGAAATAACTCATCTGTGATTACGCCACATAGTTAAATCTATTTTATTGTGATATTTATATTTTATTTTTTTAATTATGTTTACCAATAAAATTAAATATAAAAATTTATCAATAATAAACCAAAATACAGCACAGATCAGAAAAACACTATAAAGTTACCTAAAATTAATACAGAGTCAGTCAGTGTCATACAAATTTACGTCATTCGTCAACTCAAATGAAACGTCAAAATGTTTTGACTTACCGGTTAATGAACTGTCACAATCCAAATTGACTGACAGCCTTTTGGATATTCATTCCGTAACTCAAGTTTGCAATAAAAAAATGTAAATAAATCATTAAACAATACGTCCATTACATGCTATATAACCTATTTATATTTATTTCATACATAAGACTAAATAAAGATTTTTGTATTATATTCTAAGATTCGTAAGTAGAAATACAAAAGATATCTATTGATGTGGTTTAAAAATGGAAAACATTGTTTACCTGGAAATCTGCTCTTATGAATCTAAAGAATCTGTTCAAGTATCCATGTCATTGGAATCGTACATAATCTTTTGCATTTATAAATTCTGTGCTCCAACTAAGGTAGACTTATGTTTTGTCCCTGTACCATCGTCAGATAATGAAGTAACACTTAGTTTCAATGAAACACCTAATTTTGTTAATGTGAAAGATGTCCCTTGGCAAGTGAGATCATGTACATATCCAGTAACTTTGTATGGAGACACCATTATCACAGGTTTGTGTGCAGTGGCCAGACACATCTGTAGTTACCGAACAAACAAACAAAGCTTATATGAAGATGAAGTAGGTTTGCTTGGATTTAGAAAGGGTTGCTTGCAGGCACCTAATGAGGTTTCAATATGGACTAAATTTTGTGAAGTAGATCTAATTAGAACCATGAAAGAGTTATTGAATACTGAGAAAGTACTATCAGTACCGAAAAATATGGTACGATTTGAGAATCATCTCAAAACGCCAGTTAGAATACACAACGTTTTTAAAGTGGCAAGAGAGTTTAAGAAGGAGTCATTAAGAAAAAACAGTATTGATACAGAGGACATAAAAGATGTAATGGAATCAAAAACAGAAACTAGAACTCCAAAGAGTAGGAAATGGAAATCAAACCTTAAAAAACAACTTGAAGGTATAGCCACTACAAAAATTGAAAATTTAAACATCCATCATCAGTTTGCTGAAGGTCCCTTTCTTACATTAGCAGACTTGATTCTGCTCCCTTTATATTATATTGTAGAACAGGCATTTGGAAGTAAATTTGAATCTGTCCTGCCATTGACATTTAAGTGGTATACAAATGTCATAAATATAGCTGAATTACAGGTAATAAAACCTATACTTGATGGACTCAGATCACATCCAATCGTGTTGGAAAGCTTATCTGTACCTACAATAGAGAATGTCAGTCTATATAAATGTGATCCTAAAAGACAAAATCCAAAGAGGAGATTGTACACAAAACCTGATGACATAGAGAATGCTTTGAGTGTACTTGTGGATGGCATGGAATTAAATGTTAAGAGTGTTTGTTTTGATTCCAATATAAATTGGGATGATATACCTGATGGTGCTAATCCTACAGCCGGTCACCTACCTGATGAAAGAGTTACTAGAAAATCTCAGCAACTAGAAAATCTAGCATTAGCAGTCTTAAAGATGGCAAGAGATGGAGACATTATTGTAGACTTCTGCAGTGGCAGTGGTCATTTAGGTATACTAGTTGCTCACTTGTTACCTAAATGTACAATTATATTATTAGAGAATAAAGAACAGTCTCTTTTAAGAGCTAGAAAAAGGGTGCGCGAAATGGGCTTAAAAAATGTACTCTTCTTTCAATGTAACCTAGATTTCTTTGTGGGAAAATTTGATATAGGCATTGCTTTACATGCCTGTGGTATAGCAAGTGATTTGGTTCTGGATAAGTGTTTGAAAGTCAATGCCAAGTTTGTTCTGTGTCCCTGTTGTTATGGCTCCCTGCATGCTACAGATAGACTAGTTTACCCTAGAAGTTATAAGTTTAGTGATGTTACCATCGAACAGTATTTATGTATTGGCCATGCTGCTGACCAGACACATAAAGAACACCCATTGACTGTCAGAGGTGCAAGATGTATGGCTGTTATAGATTCAGACAGAGGCCGTTTGGCTGAAGAATATGGGTACACAGTAACACTGTCAAGGCTAAAACCTCTTTCATGTACACCTAAGAATAATTTGCTCATTGGGGTCCCAGCTTGAAAAATGAAAGAGCAAATTAGATAAATCATTTAATTTTGTAACAAAATTTATATCTAATAATATAGCTATCTGTACTAAACAATGTCTTTGAATTACCAAATGTCTTGATAAAACATCTTTATAAAATAATATAAAAAATTTATAAAAATACCTACAAAATATTGGAATAATTGTTCAGTTTATGACTGAAATAAATAAAAGAAATTTTAGTTTTTAATGCCAATTTTAATAATCATTCAGTAATAATATTCATGATTCAGAACAATATACCCCAAATCATATGAAAACAATTAACAAGATCAAAATTTATCACAAAATATTTTTTTGTCTATGATAAACCATTGATTATATAAAATTTTATATTATTTATTTCAGCCATTACTATAATAAGTATATTTAATGCAGTCTATTCAGGTTGTACTTATAATTAAGCAATAAGCATAAAAGGAACATCAATAATGTATAATTATGTCTGTGCATAAATTATCGCGGTGCGGCAAGGGATGTATACCTGAAATAATAAATATAACATTTTAAATGAATTTCTACTACTATCTAATCCTATGAATTAAGTTTGTTTTCACTGTGTCATTACAATTTCGTTCAAGATATTTTCGGTACCTTGTAGTACTGGTAGCAAATGGCGACCATTGCGTTTATAAAAGAACTGTGTCAGGGCTATCACGTCATCATGTGATGTATAAGACATTAAGACAACAGACACAGGCACCATATGATAATGTGATATCCGTCTCGCCGTATCTCATGTGTTGCCATGTCGATATCCTTAGGTCTTATGTCTATGACAGTCTCTATACTCTAATGTACCTGCTATATCTCAGTAGGTACAAAGCAAGCTTTTTGGCCGCAGATATAGGTGAGACAGAGGTAAGCAGACAACTTAAAATAAAGTCTAACTCCGTAAACAGATGACAGATATCTATATTTAAATATTCAATAATAATATTTTATAACCATATTAAATATATATAGATATACACAGTTTCATACAAATTTGTTTAAATATACGTACTTGAATAGAATCCTTTCTGTTGCCCCATGGTACACCCTGCGTGATGTGTTTTTCGCCGTTTGGTTCGACGCGTCCAAAACCACCATATCTCTTACTGTCTGAACACAGCACGGCCTTAAAAAATGGATTAAGAAATTTAAAATTCAGAAGTGTGTCTGTCTGCATCATTATTTTTCACGGCTGAACGGATGTTAATGATAATCTAGGTAGAAAGATAAATTGTATTACGAGGACAGATATAGGTTAGGATCCGTCACTCAAGAAAGTTTAGAAAAAGATTTAATCTTTCTTAAGTGAAGGGTGTTGGTAATAACAAGAGAAAATAATTTCCAAAATTACATGAATTTTCAAATACCGACATAAAAATTGGGTTGGTGAAATTATCGTCAATTATAAAATGGGTTAATATTCTTTAAACGCCTAAATATGTCATCATGTGGGAAGGGGATTGTTAGTAATGTGGATGCAAGGTTGACCTCCACGCGGTTCCCCCTGGAAACCATCATGATAAATTCATGGTGAATTTGTCCCTATGGGGCAACTGACCTGACCTCATGCTCATCTTATCATACTCCACTGGTGCCCCGCCAGCGTAAATCGTTATCGCAGGTCGGTGCCCCATTCCATTTTCATCCATAAAATAAAAATGTAAAAAAAAAATTAAATTATATGTGTCACCATAGGCGTTACACATTATACTATAAATTAAAAAAATTAAAACTTTTTTCATCAGTAGTTGCTGAAAAAAGTAAACATCAAAAATCCGTACAAAATAATGTTCGGTAAGAAGCTAAATTTTAGAGCTTCGTAGCGAAATATTCTAACTTACTTGGTACTTCCCTGGTTCGTTAACGCCGACCCTGTAGTCAGTGAAGCTCTGGTGAGTATGGAAGTTAAACACGAACAAGAGGCCGGCGCGCTCGAAAGCTACCAACTTGTCGCCCTCGTGTTTACATGACACGTACGCCTGTGGACACAATATTTTTTTTTACTTACTACAAAAATTACTAAACTTTATAGCGAATGGAATTGTTAGAAAAAAAAGATAATAATTAAATAAGGACTGGTAGTAAGTAATGAAATTCTTACACAGTACTAGCAACTTCGCCCTTTAATTCGGATCATACAAATGCTGTTGGTCTCAGGTGGCCTTCGGTGAAAATAGGGGTGAGTGCAGAGGACACTCCAAATTCGCGGAAGGACTTATGGAGTGACAGAAGGCCAACTTCTGCCTAACTAAAACGACTTTAATCTGAGGGCACCGCTAGATCGTTCGATCGATCAAAGGAGAAACGACTACTTCCGCGTGACCGTGATTGAATAAAGTTAAATTAAATATAACATTTTTTATGAAGCTTATACTGTGATCTTATAATTGGAATAGCAAACAGTAAGATCAATTAAATCCCTTACTTGCTTAATATACATATTAATAAGTTTCGTTTTTATTTAACTCACCGGATTTGAGCTAAGCCAACCATATTTCTCTTCGACAGTGTTCATGTCTCTATCGAATTCGTTCAGGTACTTGTACTTGAGAAGTTGGTCGTCCACTAGGTTCCATTGTCGGCGCGCGTAGTGGTACGATGAATTGTTGCCTGCACGCGGGAAGTCCAGCCATTCCGGATGACCGAATTCATTGCCTATAAGTTTAAAATCGTAAATAGAATTTAAGATTGATAAATTTAACAAAATTATGAGTACTATATATATTTAGCGCTGCGTAGCGTAGCACTCAAGAATGATGGGCATGTGCAACAAGTCAGGCCAGTTGGCATATAATGGTGATTTCATTAGGAATTAACTACAATGGTTTCCAGGTGGAACCTTGGAAACCGTAGGTACGCTTAATTTTGATGTATTTACAAAGTGTATATTTTTTGTTGTTCACTTATTTCCACTCATGTGCTGCTAACTTTGTATTTTTAGTAACTCTCTTTCTTTAGGTTATCTGTAACAGACAGACAGAGCCTACTTCTTTCTTCGATCTTTTGTTTTAATTTTCATTGTAATTTTTTTATGTACTACTACGGTGGCACACAAGCATACGGCCCATCTGATGGTAAATGGTTGCCATATCCTATGGACGCCTACGTCATTACGTGCGAGTTGCCGACTCTTAACAAACCCTAGTATACCTTTTTGAAAACCCCATGCTGTAGTCTCGTGAGAAAACCTAGGTAGGTAGTTCATTACACAATCTAAGTAAATCTAAGTACGCGGGAAAGCTCTTAATTTTAATGCTGGTGCAAAAAAAATTATAAATAATTAAAAATATATATAACTAACTACCTATGAAGTTAAGATACGCTTCACCACCAAGTGCGTGTGTGATTAGTCTAATCATACAATGTAGGGCCATCCCGCGCCCAACAACTGGGCTCGACTCACTCAACGTGCTCATGTGTGTATACATAGCAGCATCCATCAGCCAGAACGCAATCGTTTTATCTCCCACCAAAGCCTGTGAATAATAGAAATGTCATTTCTAATGAGACGATTTTTATTTTAATGTATATTCGTTATTTATTCATTTATCAATATATTCTTATAGACTAGTTATAATAAGCAGCTATTTATTACCGTTTCTTACAGCGCTGGTTAGAGAATACTTAAGTATACAAATTGAAATCCAGTGGATAATAAGTCTCTAGTCTCTATATTACTACCATATAATAATATAATTACCTGATAAAATTGTATTAAAATTTAGTACACATACAAATAACAGACTAATTTAATATAAACAATTAATTATAATTCATTAGAGAGCGTGCCGCGGACAAACAGATTATAAAATACTTTATTTTTTCCACTCTTACATTTTTATGACTTAATCAATATATCGTTATTGGTCCTAAAGAGAAATTCTTATTTTAATTCAGAATGTTAACGGTGTTTACCATCACGCTATCGATGATAATGCTAAGAGTAAGATATTACAATAACCTGATCGTGACTTTCAGCGTACGCGACAGTCCCTTCCATCCAGCGTCTGTTGGTGAGGGTGTGCACTATATGCCCCACCTTCCAGTCCTCATCACGCTCCTCCTTCAACAACTTTATCCACATGTCCGGAATCGCCATGCCCAGCCGGTAATCAAATCCGCTACCACCTTCGTCCACTGGCCGACAAGTTGCTGGCATGCCTGATACGTCCTAAACAGTGACAAACATTATAATGTCCTACGCATAATGAGGTTGTCCGTAAATATAGGGTACTTATTTTTAAACTTTCGCGTTTAATACAAATCTATACATAAGTATCAATAAAATTGGAATGTCTTTTTGTAATATTGAAATAACCGTTTTTTACTACATGCATATGAATATAAACGGTACATACACCAAAATAACATTTTTTTAAATCTTGCCTGTCTGTCAGTTTGTTCCAGCTAATCTCTGAAATCATACAACCTCATCGCTAGATGAATAGTCTTGAAATATTATTAAAACAATATACCTCTGCAATAGTAATAGCATTGCTATCAATTTTGTGTACAATCTCGTTAGCCAACATGAGATATACAAGAGCCTCTGTATCTACATTGAGGCCGTAGTACTCGTCGTATTGGCCTGAGAAACCTTCGCCAATGCCACGACTGTGGTACAGCATCGAAGTTACGCCATCAAACCTGCAGAGATGTAGTGTTCTATGAACTTCTATGACGCTGAATTAAATAAACTATTATACAAATATATTCCTGTTTTCTGTATAAAAATTTAAAATAATTAGCAACCCGCCTGTCTATGATGCTGAATCAAATAACCATAGATTATACAAATATATTCGTGTCATTTCGTGTTCTCTTTACAAAATCCCGTGCAAACCGCCAAGCTACGCATGGGTGCAAATATTGTAGGGATCTCGCAATTATTTGGACCAATATATCTAAATTATTATTTTTTATTAAAAACTAACGTATTCTTTATATAAGTGGCTACGCATGGTTGCAATTATTTTAATCGATATACTTACCATAATTTAAAAATAAAAAATGTTTCATTACTGTTTATTTTGATGAAGATTAAAGCTCTATTTATTGTGGTAACCAATATGGACCTCAGATCTCAGTCCACGGATTTATTATATGTTTTGGGAGAGTGCTTGAGAGAAATTTGGATTTTCTTTGGTTCAGCAAATATATACATGAGCATAGTATAACAGTTTACTCACCTGAAGCCATCGAATTGATATTCTTCTTGATACCATCTTAAATTAGAGAGCAGGAATCTTAAAACTTCCGGCCTGGATGGAAGATAGAAAAATTTAAATTGTTATTTTATTACGAAATCTGAGAAGAGAAGAGAGAATCTCTTTCTGGATGTTAAAATTATTTAATTTACATAAAAGAAAATTTAAATGATTTACAACAAGTATTACCCAGGAACCATTCTTGCAAAGGATGAGGACGGCTGTGTTTACTTATTACTTTTAATTTTCCGTTTATTTTTTCTAACCTCAACCTTAAGCAAAATATATTTATGACTTACATTTATAATACATGTTAATATTAAAACGTACTTGTTAATTACAACATAGACACTTGTTTTTGTTTTCGTATTAATTTGTGTGTGAATAAAAAAAACACATTAAGTACAGCAAAAAATCTAAGATGATATTACAGTAAAGTGGATGTGCCCCTAGAATACAATGTTTTAGACTTTTTTCTTAACAAAGAAAACAACAGATTTGTACTTCGAAGAATCCTGCTTTATATTTCTTAACTAATAACAGTATAAAATACTTACTCAGAATAGTTAAACAGTCTGCTGTCCCACAGTGCATGTGTGCCTCTTGGTCCATCGTGGAAATAACATGAGCTGGTGCCATCAAACTCGTTCAACCCGTCAAGTGTGTTCTTGGAGGCGTGAGAGTGTACGATATCCAGTAACACGTACAAACCCAGCTCGTGGGCTCGGTCTATCAGCTGTTTTAGCTCACACGGTGTACCGTAGCGACTGGGAAACGAATAGAAATAAACTTAATTATAAAAGCACTTTCGAATAGTCATATTTTTTTAATCTACCAGTTATTCACTACGCAGACACATCAGAAGATGAATGAGTAAGAAGCTTACGTGTTGCTCGTTTTAAAAAAAATGTTCTAATCAGATACACATTAATAAGGGTTAGGCATGCGACAATCAACATAGAATCCGCTATGCACTAACTCTTTTTTCGCTATGAATTTTAAGTTTGATTTTTTCTACAAAAACATTAGATATTATGGTTTATAAACTCTTCAATTTTACAATAAGATTTGTATTCCAATTGCAATTGTATTATTTTCTGTTATACGGCGTCTGGGATGATAATTCAATAACAATCATTCAATTCGTATTCAATACTTAGTCGTCATTCCCTCAGTAAGTTTTAATTAAATTAAATATATTTATCAATTACCCTTGTAACATTTTAAGCATGTAGTTAATGGTCGATTAAATTTTTGACAAGTTGTTTAGTCATCATTACTTTTTAAGAGTAGAAGGTACGAGGAATAACAATATACCTCACCTGCTTGTAGCAAAGAAACTGGTAATTTGATAGCCGAAAGACGCGTAATACGCGTGTTCCATAATCGCCATGAGTTGTATTGCATTATATCCTGAAAAAAGTAACTAACTGTAAATTGCGAGTTTTCTGGGTCCATAACCTTTTTATGGATTTGGCTATAAATATTATAAAAATGTCCATATTTATATATTTAGACAAGTTGCATTATTCAAATTATCTAGAAACACAATTATTACCTATATATTACCTTGTTTTTTTATTCTCGGCAGTACATTATCCCTGAATTCGTTGTAAGTACCGACTTTTCCTTCGGGCGTGGCGATACCCACGTGTGATTCATAAATACGGAGTGATTTTGGCCTCTGTACTTTGGGATTTCTGAATTGATACGGCTAAAAACAATAGGAAACTTAATAAAAAAAAAGACTGTGCTAAATTACTAAATAAAGTTGCTGTAACATTCGTATTCAGAAGAACGGGAAAAATGCGGTTTTATACCAACGACCTAACCCGCATTCATCACATACTCCTTCAATTTAAGCGCTTTCTGTCATAGCTCATTCGTATTCGTAAACAAAGGTATTTCAAACCCCCAGAAGGACTCGTAGAGGAGCTGATAGCCAATTCCGGCCTCAACGATACGACTTTAGTCTTAGTGAATCGCTAGGGGTTTGAACCATAGCTAAGCCGTCTAAATTTAGTTATTACATAATTTCCCGTTTGAATGGGATAGGGGGTATCGAAAGAGGTTTATTTAGCATAATTTTATCGAAGCAGACTTCGTGAAAATTCACCTATTTCAGCAGCAAAACAGCTTGTTTTGTAAAATGGATTTTAGTTGAAGTGTGATAAGGCAGTAAAACTACAGGATAAGGAGGCCTGACATCTTAATTCTCAGGAATAAAAATATCCGAGTTTGTATCTCACAGGCGTCAGATAAGGCGATGTCTATAGTGCGATTCATATATATAGCTACTTATATGTATCTGGATGGTATAACCACTTACCATCGAGTGAGCTAAAAAGTTTTTTGTCATTTCAATTACAAGAAATAATATAATAATAATAAATAAAAATGAACTACTCGTAAAGGTAATCGTTAAACTTACGTTGTCTGGTTTATAAATAAACTGCTGATAGGTAACGCTTTCAAAAGGCTTCACATAGCTGGCCCACGGTGACACACGGTACAAATTATCGTTGACGATAATCTGAACCCGTGTGTTGTGTTTCAGAGGGCACGACCCGTCAGGGTTGGCGGAGATAAAAAGCTCCCACTTGCCGTATTCTAATTTCTTGAATGGATGACTCTTTGAATTCCATCCATCTGAAATGTGTATAAACATTTACGCAAATGTTCTCGTTTACTACCAAACCCGCTAATTATGTTATCTGCAATTTTGGATTAATTTAGTTTGTTATAGGTGTTTCCATCGTCAGAATGTAATTAAATGTCCACGCAACGGACTTTTTTCGAATTTATTTTGATTAGGATGGTGCTATTTATGTATCTATGCATATATATATGGCGACGGTTACCTACCACTTACCATCAGGTTGACGGTCAGTTCGCTTACCATTCTAGATAGGTACATAAAAAAAATATTTTTCATCCTATACGACCCAAATCTCGTATTATATTGTGGTCATGTGTACGTACTAAATTCTCCCTGAAGATGTAAAGAATGAGCACCCGGAGCCCACTCCCGCCAGGTCACCGACCCATCACTATTGTATTGTGGACCGTAGTACTTATAACCGGTTGTGAAACCCTCCAATCCTCCTTCCCAAGACTCAATTTTATCCCAGAGGTCCTTGAAACATCCATATCTGCAAATTTACGTTATTGAATTGAATTAATAACCAGAAAATGAAAATAATAATTTTCTTTATAATTAAATACCCACTTAATTGTTTAGAAATTATTGATAGCAAGAAAAAAGTTGGAGAATATTTGGAAAGCAAAATCTAAAATGATGTTTGATTTTTCGTAAATACTCTATATGTAGGTAGATTTTTTTTTTCATTTTAAAGTGTTTTGAAAGTTTCTCTGCTTGCGGATACTGCAGGCCTTCCCCTTTGCAGCTTATTTATTTTGTTTTGTAAAGACAGACAGCAAATGATCGAAGTTGTATTCAATTATTGCACATTTTAAAACCATTTCATTCGGAAAAAAACTTAAAACGTAGGTACGTATAATTTATGTCATAAAACACAGAGACAAATATTTTGGTATACGCAGATAGTATTTCAATTGACCTTCGGTTTGACATTGGATATTGCAGCCATTAAATAACAATTATAGCGCTTCAAGCGCTAAATAAACCGTATTTAAATAAACTACTATTTTTAATTCTTTAAACGGTATATTTAATAAGAAAACAACATATTTATAATGTTAAGTCGATATTTAGTAGATATATTTAAATAGAATTGTTTGAGCAGAATTGTTATTAGGAGAAAAATAACGAACTTTTTCATTTTATTGTCTATTTCAGCGTCTTTTCGCTTAATTGCTTATAAAGGTAAACACTGCGGAATAAAACTAACCTAAAACGAAAAGATATAAGGCAAATAAACTGCTATTTTTTCACTGACAATTTATAGAAAATTATATTAAATGTAAAAAGAGACCAGTAAGACTCACCTACGACGAATTTCACGTTCGTATGGTTTCAAATAAGCATCCCGTTCGAACAATTTCGGTAAGTTCGGAACGGGAATGTCCATGGGCTCCATGGCAGAATAGTTACCACCCATTTTTTATCTCTGTCTATAGATATGCGGTAAACAAATCCAACTGCGCACGCGTCGAAGTGTAGCGCAACCGCGCGAAATTTGTAGTATACTGTACTGTTGTTAAACTAAATTTGATAAAATATAAACTAGATAGTATTATTTATATGTACATTTATGACCTTTAATGATAAGATTTGTTTCCTCGGTGTCTTGTGGAATTAAGATTTTGTTTACAATACTGTATAGATTTATATAAATTAAAGACTGATTTTTAGGTAGGTATGAGATTATATTTATTGTAAGTATACTTTTTAGTCGATATTCCGATGAGTAGTCTTTTTATTATTTTTATACAATGCACTGAGTTTGATATTTTTTCCTAATCTTTAGGGAATTATTCCTGTGTGTTCGTCATATAGTGATTTCAATAATTGGTAGCATGTATCATATCTGGTTGACGTCCATACGGTTCTCCCTGAAAGCCATCATGATAAGTTTTCAGTGAATTAGTCATGATGGTCTAACTGATTCAGATCAGTTAGCCCATCATGACAAATTCACTATAAAGATGTGGGGTATAAGATGAGCATAAGGTCAGACCTTATGCTCATCTTATACCCCACGTATTTATTGCAGAGGGTGCACAATTCCAATATCATCCATTAAAAAAAAGCTATATGACACCTACACAGAACTTAAAAGTTTACAATTTCATAAGAGTTTGCGATAGAGTAGCAAGTCTTGAATAAAAACATTAAAAAATTCTCTATATTAAAGAAACTGAAGATGGTTGGTGAAATATTTTGTCCAATAAATGTTGAACCACATCTATGGATGCCTGTTAGAAGGATAACATGAAAGGGTATACAATTTCTATTGAATGTGTTAAATTCAATTAATGCTGTTACTAGTGTCTAGGGAAATAAATAATTTACTTGACATTCTTAGTATAGCCATTTTTTGCATTTTAAAGGTTAGCAATATTTGGGACAATGCTATTCTGCATCATATTCCACAGTAAGTAGAAAAAAGTTTTGTGAAATAACATTAAAAATTTGGAATGCAATTTTGTTAAAACTATTCATATCAACTTTGAAGTATATTCTGTGGTAATATAGGAGAGAAGGTATATTAAATTCTTAAATAGAAAAATCATCTTTTAAAACAGTAGTATAGTGTCTATTTATTTTTCTTAACTACTTAAATCTAAAACAATTGTTGATCATTAAAAAATATCTGATCCAGTTTTCTTTGCTCTTGCCACAGCCTCGTCAGGTTGGAGTTGCTCTTCTTCGGACGGCTGTAGTGGTAGTCCATCAGCATCTAGTTTGCCTTCTTTAAAATCTGTGACAATTTTCTTACTGTACACAGCATCAAAGAGTTGTTGTGCTGTAAATTTACTTTGTATAACATTATCAGCTTTATAGGAAACATATGGTTTAAGGTCACAATCTTTAAGGTCTGGCACAATAAGTTCTGGTATCATTTCGGGTACTGTAATGAACTGGCCATTTAAGTTGTACCCCACATCACGAACACCACGCTTGTCTATTTCAAGCTCGGCCTCCGGCGTCATTTGCTTTTGTTTGTGGATTCTGGAGCCCCTTTTATTAGCAATCATGAATTTTCGGAAATTTCTCTTCCCCTCTCTAGGTGTGGTAAGTGAAATTGTTCTTTTAGAGATAAAATTTACTAATGTTGTTATTTTAGACATTATTGGTTAGGTACTTTTTTACAACACTTAAATAATTGGAGTTCAGTAGGAAAAGTACTTGCACAGATGTAATGCAAGTATGTAATTGAATTGTGTTATTAAACTAACGGAAATAAAATAAAAATACTGAATATATTTTGTAACAAATAGATGATATTACGTATAAAATTTGACAGATTTCATTCATCTATTGACAATTTTGACAGAAAATATCACATTGACATTTCCATATGTAGTTTTTTTTCTTTTGTAATGGCTCGGCACTATGGTGCATTTGCCAACATCAAAGTTTGGGAAACTATAGGATTTGTTATAGGATAATTTTAGGATATAGATCAGAGAAGTTAAGGAGAGGTATGAAATATTTTTATATGTAATTTGACGTTCATTGTCGTATTCAGACCATAGACCAGATCAGAAAGTAAACGAAAGTAATAAATTGTTTTACATATAAGAATTATTCTCTAACATGTTTGTACGAAATTTCGACGTATAAAAATATTATCATGCGAAATAGATCACAAGGTTAAGTGTAATTCTGGCTTTCACAAGCAAATTTTATGTATGTTTTGCTTATGTCACCATTTTCTCCTTATACTACTTTTCTGTTTGCACATTAGTTGCTACGACCCGCCGCGTCGTCTTTGAATAGGGTCATCTGGACCCTCCTAAGAGTGTGCAGATTAGAGCCTGGGGACAAACTCCTTTGCCAGGTACCAACTCCGGGGGACAGGATGAATATACGTGGCCTGTTACGTGGGCAAAAATAAATATAATACGAAAAGGATAAATTAAACGATAAATACAAAATTATTTTACCGTAACTTGAGATAATATTTGAAGATTTTATGTTTTTGATTATTATTTTAAATAAACATTCAGCAATAATCTAATCTTACAAATTCTAATATTGCGTTAGCAGGGTGAAGGGGAGTATTAGTATTGGCACAGATAACATAATATGGTACTCGAGACTAATAACCCCATTGCTAGCAATGTACCATGTCAGGTTGACCTCCACTGGTGACCAACAGCGTAAACCGTTAGCACATGCGGTTGCATAATTCTATCATTCATAAAATTTATAATAAATTTTACCGCATAAAAATATGCGTTATCGTTTAAAGACCGGGCAAGCATCTCCATTTTTTCTCAGAATCTAAAATAATCTCAGCCGGCTTTGGTGGTTGTTTGATTGTTTATAGAAGAAAAAATATTAGTTGGTCTCCGTTCCTACTTATAGAGGTAACTTGTTTTGTTAATAATGGAATTAAAAAAAACAACTAGTCAGGTTTTATAATTTATGATAAAACGAATATATACATTCAAATCTTATACCAAATTTTAATTTCATTAACACGTAAAAATATTTTGAAACACACTTTATTTTCATAAACTGTTGCATTTTACTAGACTAACAAATGTTTTTCTTAACAACTATTATCCAACCCCCTGACAAAACTCTTGGCAGTCGGACGCGATACACAATGTTTAGTAAGTCAATAAGTATATTGAAAAGTTTCCAAGTTAGTTACTTGTGTATTTGATACAATACTACAGTCTAGTAACTTAGTAAGCAAGCATATTGAATACAAAACTACAATTCAACTAACTTAGAAAGCAAGCTACGAGTTTAAAAAGAGATCTAGATTTTAATACGAGGCCGATGGCCAAAATTTAAAAAATCGTAAGAAGTAAAATGTGTGGCATATTATTATTGTTAGCTTTATTCCACTCTCTACCTCATAGATTATGTGACCGATTTCCTTTGGTCAAAACTTCGTACAAACTTGTACGAAGATGAAAAATGAGTCTTACTATCGAAGACCATAAATATCTGTACTTGAATTCTCATACCAACTGTATTCCTTGTTGGAATCCAAAATAAATATATATTTTGAATAAAATATAAATCAACTTATCTGTACATTAGGTACAATTATTATAATCCCGGATGAATATTATTTTTTATGTCTTACATTATATCTGTCATTAGTTATGCAACGTGTGTAAAAGATGAAACATTTTACGAATTTTGATGAAACCGAATTTTGAGTAGCCTACTAGAAAATTTGCGAGCTACCGCACAATAAAATATGTAGAGCCTATTCTGTAAAACAACAAATATGTATCGAGAAAATACAATTGCGAACAAAGCGCGGCAAAATATATATTTTGGAGTAAATAACACAACGTGTCTGGAGTCCGACTGCCTTTGTAAAAAAATATTTGTTCAAACCACAAATATAAATAGACTAGGTACTAACTTTTGTGCTCTACTTGAACACCATAGATAAACCTAGACTTAACGGTAATTTTGTTGGCACTGCATAATTTTAGGTAGCACCTTCATTATATCATGAAAGTCTGATTTTCTTTGTATATTAAAAAGTTCATCCATTAGATGGTGCAAATCACTTAAGTAACAATACACAAGCGTTTTCATATAAAACTGGTGGAATATCTAAATATTACAAAAAGTTGCCAGTTCAGGTAATTTAGAATACTTACTTAAATAAAAAATCAGATAGAACCTAAAATTGGTAAACAACCAGATTTACAATTATATAATTTTATTGAGCATTCCAAATTTAAATAAGACACTGAAAACAGTTTTATAATATTATAGAACAACAAACAAACAAAAAGGAACGTAACATATCCCAAGAAAGACATAACGAAATATAATTTTATTGTCCAAGGGAATATCATCTTTGAACAAAATAATCACATCTCATTTTTCTTACATAAATCATCATTAATAACACACGAACACTCATACATCTCGCATTTCAACTGACACAAAACAAATTTTGTGCATATTTATTAAGATATTACCACTCAGAAAAAATACCAATAGGCAAAGGAAATAGAGTCTGACCTGTACTAATCATAAACCGCTAACTTCATACAACTATTAGAGTGTTTTGAATTATTTCAAATTAAGAATAGAATAACTCAAACGAAAGAGATCCAACACTCCAATAGAATAAGTTATTTAGACGTTAGAAATTTTTATGAAAAATGGGGTAAATTTGTTACATTTCAATCTTATAGGTCATGTATCTACCGGCCTCTCATCATGATGGTTATTGTCTAACTCTTCTAGAGTGTCACTTGAGGAGTGCGTCATGTCGCTCATCTCGTCAATTTGCTTCTGTTTCTTCCTGACGTTCCAGTGGAGACATTCAGCGAGGGAGTCGAACCAATCAGATATTTGGTCTTGAGCGCATATAGACGGAACCGGATATACTGACGTGGTTACGTACAGACTGGAAATATAGAAATAATATTAGTAATTGTATTTATTTGAATAACAGTGCTAATACAAATAAATTGAATTCTCATTCTACCACCCCCTTCCGATCGATCCCCTGTACCAATCAAACGGGTATCGAAAATACGACGGCCTGAGCCGAAGTTCGCCGTGGTCTCATACTAAAGTCGTATTCGCCAGGCAGTAGTTGGTCTTCAGCCGCTCCATAAGTTCTTCCGCGGGTTTGGGTACCCTCTTCACTCGCCCCCTTTTTCATCCGATGTAGCTGTAACGGGCAGCTTCGTCCAACAGCATTAAGAATAGATTAAAAATTATTCTACCACCATTTTCCCATCAAGTAAAAATAACAAAATTATAGCATTAATGTAAAGACAGTTAGCTGTAAATGGTTCCACATATAAAGTAGGTTTCATTGTCGTTATTGTGTGAACAAAATCATAAATTATTAACATTATTATTAGCAGAGAAGCGTGCAACAAAAGCGAAAACTGTGCAAACATAATTAGCATAAATAAGTTACTATACTGTAGGTACATACACCTCGTGCATCGTTATTTACATTTGATGATGGTGATCATTACTTAAACTATAGTTTTTATATTAATACCGTTTGCATTATCTGTCCATTTTTATAAACAATTAAACATTATTAGATTCTGAACGATTTTTTTTATATTATAATTTGAGCGCGTTTGACCGCAATCTCAACCAAATAATAATAATCTTGGTATTCTTAATAAAGATTATTGTTTACTTTAATTTATTCTATGTTTAACATTTTGGTTCACAGGAGCAGTTATCAAATAAATTGTTGAAACATTTGTTTTTAAATTGATAGATAATGCAGTCATTCACTATTGGATGGATCTACTCTACTCTTAATGTATCTACCTTAAAAGCTATGTCAAAATGTCGTAAGATTGCAATAATGTCGCCCAAACCTGTCAATCAATGAATATAGCGGCCGAAATGACACTACGTTATTAGTAGGTATATAGGTGCTGAAATATAATGCAACATTGCAGTTGAATGTACTACAATAATCTCATCTCTTTCAAATAGCATGTGATAGAGAGAGACAGAAACATGTAATGCCAGTTTTGCATAGACTTCCCTATAGAACCAGTCGATGGCGTGTTATATTTTTTTTATTACCTATCGCCAGGTCTGATCATCAACTGCGAACGGCCATCGAATGAGACACTGGCCGGGGTACGCGCTTCTAGGCTAGGTGTTATCTGAAACAAGCCCTCATATCTCAACTAAATTGTAATAATGATTCTCATACGGCGTCTCTCACAGCGCCTTGGCTTTGCACGCGTGCAAATATATTAAATATCCCCTATTTTTAAAAATAAAATTCCTTTGCTACTTACTGATGATAAATACAGCATGCGAATGAATATTTCTTGTCTTCATTCCTAAAATATCCATTCTAGGGGGACGAACTCATAGAAAACAGTATCAGTACGTGTTTCTTTACAATTTATAACGCTACAAGACAATGTGACACACCCGAGTAGACAAAATGACAAAATTACATATATGTACACTTTATATACAAGATCTGCTCTGTCAGCCCTATTAAAACGTACTGTTTTTTAAAATTTCAAGCTAATGACACACTAGGGAGTCTCACAAACGTGGTCAGCAGTGACAAACATAGGGAGAGGTAGGAGGAAAAATAATGAAATTCTAATGACGCTATTTACAGATGGCCCCATACAAGCCTGTATCTATTCTACATGAAAAAAAACATTAATCAATACAAGCAGGCTACATAAGCGCAGGAAAGCGTGCATGGCGTGCCGGCAACCGGCCGATATGTTCGCAGTACCTATCTCCATGCTGTAACGCCTGCCGGTTTCTGCCGTCGAACGATACCCACATTGCGTTTCGTGCCTCCGGCGACAGTGCGATCTAAAATAGCACTTACATTATACATTTTACCTAAGTGAAGAAAGTGTTATAGCAATATAATAGTAGCTATAAAAATATAGAAATGCAGGTCTATTTTGTTTGAAAAGTGGTGATTATGTGAGGTTAATTAATTGAATTTAAATACCAACTGACTGAACTCTCATTTACTACTTTAGATACTAATTTCAGAGAAACTTTAAATATTAAATCAAAATATTCATGTAGGTATTATAAACACTTATATATACTATATAATACTACACAATCAAACGCACACACACACACACACATACAAAAACTAAATGAATAATTAAGTATACTAATGTTTTTACATGTAAATTAAATCTGTAATCCTTATATTTTTGCGAAGAATTGACTCCTGACAACTCACGCTAATTTGGGACTCAAGACTGCGTTAAACTGTACACCGATGAAGGTTTAAATAAATAAATATTATAATTATTATAAGTGAAATACAAATTATAACCATATTACAGGTAGTATTGCGATGGTTACATACCATCAGGCTAGCCGTATGTCCTTAGAACATTAATAATAAAAACAGCAAATACCTTGAGTTCAACGCCAGCTGGCACTACAATAGGCCTGAAGGACAGTGAGTGCGGACAGATGGGTGTGACCATGATGGCCGGAACTGACGGGTGGATCATGCTGGCGCCGGCTGCTACAGCGTACGCAGTACTACCAGTCGGCGTCGATACTATTAGACCTAGTCAGGAACACAACTAGTTAAAAAAAAAATATAATTATAAAGAAACACATAATAAACGTACAACTTCAGATATTAAAAACTCGAAGACCCGAATGTTTTGGGGGAGTGCTTGAGAGATAATTACATATTTGTTTGGTTCAGCAAATATATACATGGTGTTACATTTTACTCACCATCACCCTGAACGGATGTAATGTGCTTCCCATCCAAAAACAGGTCTATATTGGAGAGGTAAGGCGAGGGTCCGCGGTCGACCACCACCTCGTTGAGTACCAGAATTGTGGTGGGTTTCTTTTTGTCTTTGGTGAGATCGTTGGTTTTGCGGAGCACCACACACTGAAGTCGCGAGCGGAGAGTTAGCGCCGCGTGTCCTATTGTCCAATAGAGAAATCTTATTATTTATCCTCGATAGTCTAGAGTAACAGTAACTAATACCTTCGTAAATAAAGCTTATTAGTAATAAGTAGAATTGAAGAGCATTTTTTTAAGTCTATAATCAAGCATACGCCTTCGACTACGGCACTTGCAACAGTTATAAAAAAATAGCTCTTTTGTAATTCTGTCGAACTGATCTAACATTAATATTGGACAAGATCAATTTCATGTGATTGTTAATTCTATTTCTTTATACAAAACACAAATCCTTTGTAGCAGAATGTGACCATTTGGGCAGTTTTTTGTGTGGCAATTAGGTCTTGTACACGACAAATGTGACGGCAAAAAGGAAAGACTATAAATTAGCCAAAGTTTCTAAAACACCACAAATATAGATAAAGTCAAGTAACATATCTCCTTTGCTAGTAACATTTTATGGATTTTATCCTTTCAGAGATAGTAGGTGAACATGAACATACCGAATAATTAATAATTTTCTGTTTTGAATTTGATAAAAGATGCTTTACAAGGTTACCTTCTAAAACATTCAAGACTTGGTCCTGGAAATTGTTGAACTCGAATGGTGTGAGAAAACCCAAGGAACCTAAGTGGAATGCCATCACAGGAGGGACAGATTGCTGAAAATAAATAAATATCTTAATATATATAATTATTTTGTATATCACTAACAAATACATTTGATTCACAAAAAAAAACAATAATTATACTGCAAAGTTCAAAATATAATCAAAAGCACAACGAAGCAGTGTTCTCAAGATACCGCCAGCGTCTTTAAATAGCTATACTTACCTTCTGGGCAAAGTAGCTGCCGCTACTTTATTTTATTTAGGCTATAATCAGTTTCACAATGTTGTAAGTATTTAAATACATAAATCTAAATTGATAATAGTAAAACGAATACAGATATCCACGGGTTAATACTTGTGTTATATTACTCTTATTATTATGTCAATTTATTATCGATTTACTGCAAAATGTCCAGGTAATATGTCTAATAGGGTTTTATTAAATTTAAAGTATGACAAATGTTATACTTGCTTATAGCGATACGATCTCCTTTAGTTATTAATTTTCTACATTGTTTTTCTTATTTTATTTCTTCTCTATTCACAATAATGTGTTCATTATTATTATTATTTATTATTACATTTATCTTCTAGTTACCTGAAATAGTGAACTGGCATGCAGCAATGTTCCATCTCCTCCCAGGCATATAATGAAGTCAATTTTGTCTGTGAGATCGTCTGTTCCAGCCCTGAACGTCATGAGCCGTTCCCGGACCGATGTGAAGTCCCCATACTCTGCCAGCAGGGTGTCGTCTAACACTGCTGCCTCCACAAACACTACCATGCTTTTATCCTGAAAAAAGAAATAATGTCTATTTCATCTCTGATGGCCTCGGTGGTCTAGCGGTTTAGCACACCGCCTTACTTCCGATGGTCGCGGATTAGATTCCTCGCACGGCACAATCGTTTGTATTCATGAGTATGATTTTTTGCATCGGTCTGGGTGTTCTCTATGTATAATATGTATCAATTTACGAAAATAAAAAATATCATGAATTTGTATCAGTGATCTAGTACCCATAACACAAGCTAAGTGTGAATTGTACTGATATTATTATTATCTTCTATGTTAGTATAATTGTCCAGGATAAAAATTAGCCAAAGTGGCCTCAGTAGTTTAGTCGTTCAGCACACCGCTTAACATATGATGGTCGCGGATTAGATTTCTCGCAGTGACTTAATCTTTGTATTCATGAAATAGAATTATTTATTGAAATGAATGTAATCATACTTTGACATACAATTTTTAATTTAATATTATTATTTTTATAATTTGTATTTAATTAATTTATATCTAAAATAATATTTGAGCGAGTAAAAACACTTTAATCAGCCTTTTCGTTAGTTTATCTTTGAACTTTTTTAAACAGAGATTCGTAAATGAAGTATCTAATTAATTATAGATTTTTATACTACGTACGTACTGTTACTGTGGTACATAAGTGTCCTCATTTTTGGTAAGAGAACTATCTCTCTCTCTCTCTCATAAACCTGCTTATTTAATAAACACCAACAGTATGTATTATGTGCTTTACAAAAAAATATAATTATGAAATTATATCATTTGTGTAAGACTCATAGTACTAGCTCAATTTTATATCTAGAGTTTAGGACTTTTTTTTATTTCTATCATAGTAAACCTATAGATGTCAAACATAGAACTTCCACAAACAATAAAAATATAGGTATTCAAAGTATTAACGGCAACAATGAAGATTCTCGACAGTTCCACGCTCATTAACATTGCATGAGGTTATTGTATCGATCAACCGATTCATGGTAATGACATTAACGTCAGCGACAACACTCCATTTACTTACTAAAGCATAAAGTTTTATACGTATGTCCCTATACATATATCTAATCAAATAAACAAAATTGAAGAGTCTTTTCTAATTTCAAATTAACAGCGTTTCACTAATTGTAAATGCATATGAAACGCAATACGATACTTACATAAAAAATATAATAAAAAAATGTCTGTCTGTTTGTTCTTGCTAATATCTGAAACGGCTGATTTTAAGATAGCTAATATAAAAACTTAGGCTTAATTTATTTTAGATATTTTATTTATTATAACAAAAAAAAAACACCAGTACCACTCGGTCAAATTCGAGTGTAACAACTAGTTTTACTACAAACTATACAAATACATATGTATAATAAAAATGTAACAGATCACTGTCTGTATTCATAATTCTTCTGGTAGAAGGAGGAGTTGTAGAATTTCACCAGTAATCAATAATCAAAATGTGATTCTACATGCTTGTTTGCCTTCATAGGGGTCACATACAACCTCTATGTCATAAAAATCAAATGACTCCATAAAAACATAAAGACTCTCCAAAATTCCTTCTAAATTAAAAGTAATAGGTCCCGAGTGCACAAAACTGCAGAAAATATATCCTAATACTAGCGGACCCGCGCAACTTTGTCTGCATCACACTTACATAACATTTATCATTATATTTCGGGCAATTTACATATTTTTTAAATTATAGCCGTGTGTTATTTTGACCTACATTACTGTAAAGTTTCTTCAAAATCCGTTAAATAATTTTTGCGTGAAAGAGTAACAAACATTCATTTATACTCACAAAATTTTGCGTTTATAATATACTGTGATGTGATGTATGTAAACATTCCTACTGAATCACTCTATCTATTAAAAACCGAAATCTACAAATCCATTGCGTAGTTTTAAAGATTTAAGCATGCATAGGGACTGACAGCGACAGCGACTTTGTTTTATACTATGTAATGATGATAATGATAAAGATAAAGTAAGATGTAAGTTAGTTTAAGTACTTACATGAACCAGCCAATGTACCAACTGTACGAATGGTGTGAGGATTGTGGCATCGTGTACCTTCTTGATGACAAGCACCGTTAGCGGCGGCTTGTACCAGGTCAACCGCTGCGACGCCGGATCCTGGATTTGCCTGGAACGTTGCAAATTTTATACTAATTAGTTGTATTAATAATAAATAATGGTCGAAAACAATTTAAAAATATCTTATAACCAGCAATAACAATTAAACAAGAGTATGCGTGTTTGTAAAATACTTGGTAAGTGTGTGTATCTAATGTTCTTTTATTGATTTAATGTATGTTTATGTATAACAAAAATTCCTCACTTCTTTTTTATATAAATATATTGTATAATTACAGTTTATTTAGTGTAGAATATGTATCGTGATTTATATAACCTGTAACACATGCACACTCGGTTGGGGGCCTGATTACTGTATTACAAGTTATACCTATTTTAGACACCAGCTCCTCACAGCAATTGATTGTAATAGTAAATTGAAGTGAGGAGAAATAAAAATAAATTATAAAAAAATCGTAAAAAGCGGTATAAATTTGTACGTTTCACGTTTTAATTTATTATCATATTAATAACTAAACCTAAGCAGACGGGACAGGGGGCGGCAAGGGGGAGAAATTATCTAATCAATAGTCAAAACCGTATCAAAATCCATTGAGTGTTTCGGTCGAGGTATAAGGAGAATCTTATCAATTGATAGTAGATTTCAAATATTATGAATCCGTTTCTTTAAAAAGACACGTTATATTCCCCAATTAAGTAAAAATTGTATGCATACAAATAACAAAGCAAAATGTTATCTACTGGTTGAATAATAGCAATTTTTTGCACAAATGTTTATTACGGATATATCTGTATAATCTGCACTGCTAACTACTTTAATGATTTATAGGTAACGTGGTTGTTAACTTGTAATAGAGACATAATAACTTAAATAACCTTGAACAATGGACACAGCGCCATCTAGTTCGAAGCTACAAGCAGAGCTCGTGTTATGGGTACTAGATAACTGATAGTTATATTTTTTTGGAAATACATAAATAGTACATATAGAAAACATCTAAACTGTTAGAAACAACCATATTCATGAATATATGAGTGCAACGTGCAAGGACTCGAACCCGTGGCAGGAAGTAAAGTGACATGCTAAACCGCTTGACTACCGAGGATAATTTTTTGAATTATACAATTTTGAACTTTTGAAATTTTTGAAATTTTGAACTTACCAAATAGTCTATATTGACTGCATTAAGCAATAATGTTTATTATTTGTTAACTACATTTATGACTGAATGTAAATTTGTTAGGATTTTTAGTGTGCAATGAAGTGTGTTATTTTTAATATTATTAAATTAATCAAATAACAACAGTGCATAAAATTTATAAAAAATATTTTGAAATCTCGAATATTCGTCTTGAGAAAATTATTAACTTTCATGAACACCAACACTTACCAGTATATCTCTTACGACATTATAACCTTGTATAAAGTTATATACTATTAAAATAAATAAATAATAGTGACAAATCAGCCTTGTAGAAGTCATCACAACAATACAAAAATTTGACACGTGATCAAAATCACGTTTTATGACTTGCTATTTTCGCACATTACGCTAATGTAAGTAACAAAAAAAAATTAAAACACGTTTGTTGTATACCTTGGTAAAAAATTTAACAAACATGTAATTTGCAAAACAAAAAAACCCGCTACAATACATAACAAAGACGTGGGTGACATGCTGAATAACATATTTAGGAAGATTGTCACATTGTTTTACGTGTATGACCGAATTAATGACTATTTTTACTGTTTGAAAAACGTAGTTATTTCAAAATAATAGTTTTATTACTTTGTCATTATATATTTAATATATTATTATGTATATATAGAGCAACTAAAAAGTTAACATTTACCTTAAGGCTCGCCAATCATCATACAATTTGCCATGAATGCGGCGTTTTTTACTGCACTTTATTATGGTTTCGCGAATGAAGTTATGAATACAAGCTACTATTATTATATATATGCATCAGTTAGTAAACGGTTGGCATTTTTAATATGGTGGAAGAATAGATATCTTAAGCTTTAAAAATGGCAACGCACGATGTGTCATATCAGAGTATTTAATAATATTCATCACATCCGACAAGTATGTTTGTCTTTATAATGATAGATACTTATTTTAGTAAGTACTTGCATTTATGAACACCACCAGTATTCTTAATATTTATATATAGTAGATGAAACTCTAGTCCAAAGTAACATAGGGAAGTAATAAATATAAGAAAGAAATATACGGTATATACTTACATTACCATAGCTGAATTCTTCATTATTCTGCCACATGGTCCAAACTGCTGTATGGGAGATGGGGCATTCAGGGACCTTGTTCTCCTGGAAATTAAAACAGAAACATCAATTATAGTAAACATTTCTTTCGACAATAGATGGCTTTGGACAGTAGAAAAGAAAAAAGAAGTAATAAATGTATACAAGCTGTGGAACGACATTGATTCTTATTATCAAATTACATATAACTAACAAAAATAAAAATTTGAACCGTATGTGTTTAACTTGACATGAGATACACAGTCATATCAGAGATATGTATAAAGGCAAAGAATAATTTCTAATGCAGACGATTTAATCAGGGTTCGTTGAACTAGCGTCGGATTCACTTATTAAGGTAAAGAGTGCATAAACGAAATATCTCATTTGGATAGTACACTCTCTGCTGAGGATATAAAAACCGTCACTACTAAACATATCCTTCAATTCTTCTCCCTGACGGACCTAGGCAGCGAACTGTAAAAAATGCAGAACACAATAGATCTATGCAGGTCGCAGTGGTACAGGTCTCTTTAGCATTGACTAATAGCACAAACTTCTTAATAAAAAAGGCTAAAAAAGAAAAAAGAGTCAAAACAGCATGTTTTAGATAGGCGTGAGAATTAATCATTTGCCGCTGGACAGTTTTGTATGCCGTGTTCTAATTTAAAGAGTGTGGGCGATATTGCACTGAAATTTATCAAGTATTATGACAAGAGATCCAGTTACAATTTGTATATGCTGTGATGAAGACATGAGACGATGTAATAATACACGTCTATCGGATAAAAGCATAGCTGGAATATGTGATGAGACCGCGAATTAATCTATTATACGTCTATTTCAAAGTATAAAAGAATATTAAATAAACTAGGTTTATCCACCGAATATTAACCAAACCAATTTTCTCCAAAATGAGAAATTTTATTCTGTTTTTCCTTTCAGTTTGATTGAAACACAAGAAAAAAAAAATGCTTTACTACACAGAAAATATAGTAATATCATTAATTAGAGACAATGTGAGGAAAGGTGGACTTATCCTTGGAAAACATGTCTTTCAATCAACGTAACTGTTGTGATATCGAGTGCAAGAAATAATCTTATCTTTTATTGTATTAATTTACTAAAGTCTATAAAAGAATAGTAGAGAGGGTGGACTCACTGCCCCCTCTGAGTTATAGACCGTTTTGGATCGTTCATTACTTTTAAATTTTATTATAAGCAGCAATTGTATTAGTTTGTTTGTTATGTGAGACAAATAAAGATGATTATTATTATTATTAAATGCAATATCAAAAAGTGACAGTGCAATAAATCACAAACATTTAGTATAATCTTTAACACACCTGAATTGTTACCGAGAGCCATAGCAGTATGTGAATAACACAGGAGAATACGTATTCATCCGCGTCAGACGACACACTGGCTAAGTTCATGGTGTGTCCCTCCACAATCAAATAAATTAATGCACATACGCTAATTTACATTCGTATAAAACATACAGGCTGTGTAAAAAAATATGACAATACGAATATATGTATATATCATTATTTATTTATATTATTATTGTAACTTCTTATATACATATGTGTAAGTAGATATAGGCAGTAGATATCTTTTTTATTTTTACTACAAATAGAAATAGTTGATATTATTTACTAATGTATATTTAATTTTCGTAATATTATAATATTTAAAATAATATTACGAAATAATCAAGCAATAAATAATTATAACTGTCAAGAGAATCCGTCCCGTCTTGTACCCGGCCCAAAGGTTCCTATTACGCTTACAACATTTCTACGCTGAATTCCAGAGAAATCCTTTGAGCCAGATACGATTCGGAATGGGGATGGGGATCAACCGCTTTTTTGTATAAATCGCGATATAAAAAATAATTATATATATATATATAATAAAAAATCCATAAAAAATATTTCAGTATCACATAAATAATTAAGTATGTTATAATACTTCTATGATAAAACACTTTATTCCCTCTGAGATAAGTTAAGTTATATCGTTATAACATTTTGATAATATTTCGTGAAATATAATATTTTGATCCTGAACTGTCTTCAGAAATTTAACATTAGAATTGTATCTATACTAATAAAAAATATACATTTAGTGATTGGTCGCTTGTTTGTATATTAAGTTGATTTGAGATAAGTTTAATTACTTATTGGTACTTGTTAATTGTGATAACAATATTAATAAGACAGCAGACTGTATATAAATATAAAACAAAATACGTTAATAAATACAATACGTCGAAGTTGACCCCGCCAACCTTAGTATGTGAGCGAGAATACTGTCAGCTGGCTTTCAAAGCATTATTAACATAAAAGTATTGATTGTTAACAATAATATTAGTAGTAGGGATTCCGATTTGTTACCATTAGTCAAATTGTGTCTATGACGGTAGATTTGAATTATTATAAGTGTCTGTTATCAGAGCTACTTGAACAAAGATATTTTGAATGTTGGATGTTTAGACTCGGCAAGTGAAGCTGTTTTGTGTTGGAGGAATGTAATGTTGCTTTTATTGATCGAATCAAAAACATTACCCTTTAGAAGCGATTTATCATTTTTTTCATGAATTTGTTCTTTTATTGATAAATTTGCAGTATTCTTACTAAGATTATCGATGTTTGTAAGTGTGGATGGATGGATGTACTTATGTTACTTTTGCACGTAAAAACTACTGAATGGATTTTAATGAAACAGCTTATACAGCTATAAATTTCATCCGGGTGAAACCGAGGACATAGCTACTATTCAATAAATTTTAGCCACCCTTTCTGGTGTTTCGGTTAAAAGGTCAGATATGGCAGTGAAATCACAAAATACCATGGCATAACATACGTATTTTCGTCGTTTTCCTGCATGGAGATGTATACCTCACATAATTTTAGCGATTTATTCTAAGTCCAGTATACAAATATTTTTTCCAAGTCCCTACGCTGCTCCCAATGAGCGGTATTAGGGGAGTCATATGATGACATAATGTCAGCTCTTTATGTATCATCATCATTATTATTATTACATAGTATAAAACAACGTCGCTGTCGCTGTCCGTCCGTCCCATGCATGCTTAAATCTTTAAAACTACGCAACGGATTTTGAAGCGTTTTTTTTAATAGATAGAGTGATTCAAGAGGAAGGTTTATATATATATAATACATGTATACCCTAAGCCGGGGCGAGTAGTTAGTAATGTATAGGGTATAGGCGACGGTTGCCACTTATCGTCATGGGTGGTCAACTTGTTTGTCAGTCCTATTATATAAAAAATGGGTATTCAACAACACACTGTATTTACTGCTCATTCTATTGCGATTTTTTGTGCTATCGGTCATTATTTTTTTTGCTTTGTTGATGTTAAGTCCGAGCCAAACCTTAATGTTTATAGTATTCATGTTTTATATAGCCGTTAAATAGATGTCGCGATGATTTCCGATTGACTTGTCATGACTTTAAAAAAATAAATAGTAAATAGTGCGGTCATATGACCAATTTAATTATTTTAAAATATTGACAGTCAGTAGCTAGCTAAAATGACCATAACCTGTCCTGTCATCTAACGGGCTATAGTTATATAGTCTATGGAAAGCGGTCAGTATGATTCAAACATATTCAGTACCGATACTTTTAGCGTCGTATCCACTAATCGTATCGGCTTAAGTTAAACAAACGATAAGGAAGATAACGGTGCGATAGATACATTGTTTTGTTGTACATAGATATTATTTCATTCAATAATGTGGTGTGAAAGTAATAAAACGACGTAGGTATGTATGCTTATTGATTTTGTTTATAATGAGGCGGAGCATGCATGCATGTATGCTTAACTATTTTAATACAAGTGAATAATAATCTAAATGTACTTTAAATGACGATTTATACTATGATATAAAATTATTATTTAAATATATGTTATTGTTGATCTATGGATTACTCTTAATACTCTATGGATAATTAAGGATTTTCCAGTTATTCAGACAAATTTTGGAGTAGGTTAAATTGAACTGAATAGAACCGATTGTTAGATTTCTATTGAAGATATGTGATAATTTATGGTTAAAATATTTTTACCTAACTGGTAGACTAGCGCAACATTATCCGAGTATTTGTCACATTTTTCATTGCAGGTCCGCACATATTTGTCGTAGTGTGACGTTATATGGCATGTAACCTTTCTCGATTTTTTTATATCTAAATTTGAGCGCCTTTGGCCGTAATCTGAATCGTGAAGATGCTAACCTATTTCACGCATTTTAACTCTTTATATTAATAGTAATAATATGTAAATAAACGACAATTACGAACTCGCGATTTGATAATAATGTATCATCCACGTAATCTTAATTCATTTCGATAAAGATGTGAGAGCATAACAAATTTATTTCATTTGATTATGAAATTCTTATGAAATGGTTTACTCTGTGTAGCTCTGTGAAACTCTGCTCTAACAATAGTAGCTCGAAAGGCACTAGTGAAAGAGGAAGTCAGGTCAATAATTCCATAGTGGCAAATTCATCAGGATAACCATAATGGTTTTTTGTAGCATAGGGAACAAACGAGCTTGTGCCTACTTGATAGTTGAGCACCCGCATCACGAGGGCAATTGCAAGTGTGTTCCATTTAAGAAGAAATAAGCTCTCATCTTTAAGGTTTCAATATCTAGGATTTCATGTAGACTGCAATCTAGTACATAGCTAGCAATGGGCCTAATTGATCCTTTACTAAAATTCTCTATCCACCATCTATTTATTTATATTGTATTTATATTAATTAAAATCCTGGATTCTATTTTCCACAAGACTCCATTGTAGTATAATATGGGAGTAATCCATGTGCATGATTGATAATGAGGACTGATTTGAAATCATGATGATAAAACTGTTTAAAATTTCTAATTATTACGCTTAACCAAACAGGTTCTAAGAACTATTATTTATTATTGACGCGGTCAAATAAATTTACCTAATCATGGTAAGAACAAGTTAATTACGCATATTATTATTACATTATCTAATGATAAATATTATTATTTGAGTATG